GGCAGACGGGTATCAACCCCCAGACAGCTGGTTTGCAGCACGCGGCGTTGCCCGCGATGATCTGGAGGCCGCCGTCGCTGTCAAGCTACCCACTGATCCGTACATGCACGTCTGGTTCTACAGCTGGAAGAATCTCGACACCAAATCCCAGTGGCCGCAAAAGTTCAACCAGATTGGTTCGCGAGGTCTGACGCTCCTCTTCGACGACGTGGACAAGGAGTTGGCCCGGATCCTGAAGGAGTTTCCAAACACCAAGGTCTTGCAGCAGCCCATCAAGATCCAACGCAAATGGGGAGAGACGACCTCGGCTCTGGTTCACGACCCCGAGGGGACGTTTGTCGAGCTCGTCTCGATCGCCAACAATCCGTTGGTCGCCAAGGCACAGCCGGCTCTGCCTCATCATCGAAGTTTCCTGCATTTCATGATGAACTGTGTCAATTTCCAGGAAACAACCAAGTGGTATCAAGCATTCGGTATGGGCCCGATTTCCCGCAAATCGACTCGATGTGAGCAAGGCAGGGCTGATGCAGCACAACAGGTATGGATCACGACCACGGCGTCGATTTCAGAAACCTCCACCACGACGATCAATTCAACAGGGGAATCGGAGGGAGAGACGTCTTCATGAATCAGATGAAAACTTTCTCGCACCACGAAAACGTGTGGACCGATTGCCATTTCCTTCGCAGCCCAAGAGATCCCAGTCACATGCACCTGGAACTGCTGGAGTATAACGACAACGGAAGTAAGTCCCAGACCCGTTTCTTCGGCTGCAGAAGCAAATCAGGTATGCAATTGGATCTAATCACAGAGCTGATGACTGTACAGAGGGATTGAAAGACCCAGGGCTCAACCCAACATGGTTTCAGAAAGGTTAGAGGCTTTCCGATCCATCAGCATGTTAGTTCTGCCCTGACGAATCGACCTACAGGAATTGCAAGGTATTGCATGAAAACCCCGAGCTTTGAAGCTGCACAGCGAACAGCCAAGGAAAGAGGGTACAAAATCTACATCGAGGAGCAACGAGGTAAGACGACCTGTGCTGTGGAAGAAGTAGTTTTCAATTCCTGTGCGGTATACTCACATGAGAACAGGTGCTCTGAACTGGGGTGATTCGCAGTGGTTTTTCTTTGGTGATGTGGACGGCAATTTGCTGACTTTGTGAGTTTACCCAAAGTCGTGAAAACATCACTCGAGCTAATGACTGTCGTTGCAGGGAACAATGGCATCACCAGAGATACTGGGGTGAACGTGACTGATACGCTAGAGAAGTCATGGATGTTTCTGCTAGTTAGATGGGAAGTCTCCTACACACGTACATGCTGGCAAAAACTAGACCATGAGAAGACCCCAGCGAGCCTGTACTCGCTGCTTTGGCCTTCTAAGTCAAGATCGGTTCTCCCTCATCGTCAGAACTGATATTCCGAAGGCTACTTCTGTGTCGTCCACCACGACTGCAGAACAAGGTGTCATCTTTACTGGGCCTCTGGTCTATAGATTCGAATAACGCAGGAGTGGTCATGTGTTTACGACATGCGCAAATATGGATCTCGAGAGTTTTATTTAGATCCGAACAGAGAAACATGCGTAGGTCATTACTTTTCTCTGGTGTCTCTGTCCCCCTACAAAGAGGTACACCATGTCTTCAGCGACTCTTGACATCGTTGCAACGTTTTTGCCCAAGCCAGGGAAATCCAGGGTGGTAAGATCGATCCCGCAAATTCTTGTCGGCTGAAGCCACCAGCTTCTCTTGGTCTCATGAGCCTTATGAAAATTGACTCGATGCTATGAAATGGGCAGTTGATCGACCTCCTCTCGTCAGTTGCCGAAAAGGCCAAGGAGCAGGAGCCCGGCACTCTGATATACTCTATCCTGGAGGCGAAGGGTCTGGACGGCATTGACCAAGTCGTTATCATCGAAAGGTACCACCCATTGCCCAAATCCCTTCGTGATGTAATATGAGATAACGGGGAAAATAGATACACAGGTCAAGACACGTTGGATTTCCATATGGCACAGCCATACTACAAGGAGATGGCGGCCAAGTTTGACGAGCTGTGTGAACAGAGACCGACCGCATCGATCGGGACTGTGCGAGGGGGGTTCATTAAGGAAGCAGCGGCATCATAATGGTGGGGGACGAGCAGAGTATCCTGCATAGGAATAGTCTCAACATGTGTGACTGGAACGGTCGACCTAGATAGGTTCATAAGTTGTACTCACCTGTGATTCTGCTGCCCACTCCTTTTTTCATCCAACTCGCGTTATAATCCTAATAACCACTAAGAAGGCTTGCTGACTGGTCGAGATGGCGTTCATTCTACAATACAACAACTGGTTGTCGTTCGTTCCGACAGTCGGTTTTCCGAGTGTTGGTCGTCGGCGTCATTAGAAAAACCACCATCTTGCTTTGATGGCCGCAGCCCTTCGCCCAACAAACCAAGGCTGGATCCGGTCACAGTTACTATACACATGCACGGCGAGCACCATGGAGACCCGTGACATGATAGTCTATACCTTGAACACTCCGGACTGCAACAAAGTGAGCATAACTCTCGAAGAGCTCGGGTAAGCCTCCTGTTCAGCGGTCAATCAGTGTCCGTGGGCTCAAATAACCACAAACTCCAGATTAAAGTATCAAGTCCGCAAGGTCAATGTGTCCAACGGCGAGCAGAAGGAGCCTTGGTTCACTGAGATCAACCCAAATGGACGAATACCCGCACTGGTCGATCAGCTTCCTGACGGCTCCACGATCAAACTGTTTGAGTCGGGGAGTATCATGCAATATCTAACAGACCGCTACGACCAGGAGCACCGGTAAGTTGATCTGTACAGTGGCCAACACATCCCGTATGCCACAAAGTTGACGAGATGATTCTCTAGCATTTCCTTTCCGCGAGGTACCCCAGAATACTACGAGACTGGCAACTGGCTCTTCTTTCAAAACGCCGGGGTTGGTCCGATACAGGGACAGGCCGTCCACTTTCTTCGCTACAACCCTGTAAAGATGGAATACTCGACGTCACGCTATATCAACGAGACTCGCCGCCTTTATCGTGTGCTCGACAAGCATCTTGCAACGAGAGATTACTTGGTGGGAGGGAAATGCACTATTGCCGACATTGCGCACTGGGGTTGGGTTACAGCGGCCTTTTGGGCCGGCGTCGACCTCGGTCAGTTCCCGAACCTGGCTCGGTGGGAGAAGAGGATGCGGGCTCGTCCCGGTGTTCAGAGGGGAAAGGAAATCCCCGACAGGCATTGGATCGACGTAGTTACTGAATCTCCGGAGATGATACAGATAGTAGAGCGAGAAAACGCCAAGTGGATACAGGCAGCACAGGTTCAAAATGCACAATTGTAACCCGACCTCTCGTATTGACTCGGCTAGAAGCTACGAAGTGGGTGCCAGATGCCAATAAAGGATGGGTAGGCAAGGGCACAGGTAAATGTCGTGTCAGCTGGAAAACTCTTGCTCTGTACCTCGAACGACTGCCAGCTCCAATCGAATAGACGGGCCAGAAAGGGGGGAAAGGGGTAATGAAGACCTTGCAATAACTGGCACCTCGGTGACTGGACTGTTATTGGACTGCTAGGACAAGGCTTTGGAACTCTGGAATTCCTACCCCGGACTTCCGACTGTGTCAAACACCAATCATCTACGGACCGCGATCCCAGATACTCATGGTCGATCTAGTCTTTCCCGTCAGAGAAGCAAACAACGACGACGAAAATTGTAGACTGCCACTTGCATTTCTGTCGTGAATGATAAATGTAAAACCCTCCAACAATAGACAAAGAGCGTAGATACAGAAAGCGTTCATCTGGTCTTTATAGCCTCTGGTCGAAGGGCACTTTCCTAGCACTATTCAACCTCTACCTGATCTTACTCTCTCGGCCGGCGGCCTGTCTGGCCACCTGCTGCTGAGTGAGTGTTCAAGCATCCACTGGAAGAGTCTCCAACCACCCAGGTCCATGGGGTGGGGTGGGATTGTACGGCTTCGTATTTGGCACACCTTGTTCGAGGAACGACTTGGTGACGGCCTGGTACATCTCCTCGAGGTCGTTCTTGTCGGCGAGAAAGTCGACGCTGTTCTCCTTGCCGGGGCGGACGGTGTTGATCCGGTGTCTCGACCAGCGAGTTGTGTTGTCGTCGATCTTCTCGAGCGTGTAGGTGGCCTCGATGTCCGTGGGCATGGGCGGGCCGTGCCAGTGTACCGACTTGAATCCCCATTTGTGCGGCTTCTCGCACACAGTCACGACCCAGTCGCCCACCAGGTCGAACCGGTCCGGCATGTGCATGTACTCGAGAAAGTGCTCGCCCGGCTGCATGGTGCGAGACACCGATTCGAGGTCGTCTTCGCCCCCGGGCCCGTGAACCTTCCAGGTCCCCAGTTGCAGCTTGATCCAGTTGGTGGGCACCGTGACAAACTCCCACACCTTTTCGATGGGGAGGTTGATCACCTGAGAGGTACGGCTGTGTGTGACGCCCGACATGTTTGATGAGGTGCGAAATGGTATTTGGGTGTCTGCTTGGTGGATGTGTGCTCACTTCAGTTTATCTCTTGACCTGGGTTCCCTTGGCCATTTTATGAGTGTCAGGAGATCAAATTCATTGATCGTATAGTCGGGATGACGATGTCGTCCCAGAAACCTCATCTCGTCGGTCAAGACGACTCAACGAGTCGTGGGATTTCTCATGAACTCGTGGGGAGATACTCCCTCCAAACTCCCCGGGGTAAGTGGATCCTCTACAAAGACAAAAAGTCCGAACACTATGGTCAAGAAAGATGGCGTTGCTTACATTCGGCAAGCTTGGACGGCAGTGTCATAGGCAATCGTTTCACGAGACAGAACAGGAGCAACGCACGGGAGGCCATCCATCACCCCCACCGACCGAGAGACTGTTCCTCGGAATTGGCAATCGATACGAAAACTTCAAGCGCGACAAGATAATGAGTGAGCAGCATCTCAAGAGAGAGGAGCAAGCGTTGTGGCTAGGTTTACTGCAACTCTGAGGTATACCTATCGTCCCCGGGCAAGACATCAGCTACAAAGCCCCAGGGGATTCCTAACCCGTCTTTGGGGTCGACCACTAGCATTGAATCGTCCTTGGCGATGAGCTCCACCCCTTTCCCCCGAAGATGCGCCTCAGTGACAGCCAGATCCTTGACTTTCCAGGTCAAGGCGTGATAGACATCCTCGGCCTTGTTTTGTCTTGCTTCGAAGTCTCTGGACGCATACGAGTCGACACCGGGAATGGGGACGGCGAACTCGTAGACCGCGTCGGCCAGCTGAATGAAGATGCTGTCGGTCCCTCGAAGCGTGCCTTTGGTCTCGTGGATCTGCTTCCCACCCATGAGGTCCACGAACAGTCGAATGGCCCGGCTCAGATTCGCGGTCAGGATCGTGTGGTGGGAGCAAAACTGGATTCCCAAGGGCCCCTTTCCGACCTGGGGATTCAGCTTCCACGAAGGGTCCCGGCGGATGTCGTAGGTCCCCATGCTCGAAGCTGGATAGTACTCGTAGCGAAGCCCACTGTCCTCCGCAACTGTGAAGAAAAGCTTTGATGGTTTGAAAACAGCCACGGGACACTCCTTGGGGTCGGCGAGCCGGTTGGCTTGGTCGGTCGAACGCACACCCATCTCGTTCAGCCAGGCGTATATCTCATCGATGCCTTCCACGCCCCAGCCCAGACCGTTGAGGTGAGGCTCCTCGACATCCTCGTATCTCTGTTCCCCATCAATCACGTACTTTTTGGGGTCTATGCAGTCGAAGAAGACATCCGCAATGGACGTGAAAATGCAGTAGTCGGTTGGAAATGTCGGGTATTTGGGGTCTGGCTTCGTAAAGAGCTTGTTCCGCCAGACGCTCTCGATGCCAAACACCTCACGGAAGAACGTGTCGGCCTTCTCCAGACTCGGCACCCGATGGCTAGGGTGATATAGCGTAACTATTTTGTATGTCATGTTTTTTGATCTTGTGGAGGGCGTGAAACTCGAATCGAACAAACAAAAGCTTCGATGGTAGAAAGGCAACGATACTGTCTTTTCTTACTGCCTGATTGCAGGGGTGGGCGGGCTTTGGACTTTACGACATTGATAATGTTCTCTATAGATGACCAAGATTATCGGAATTGCTGGTGTTGGACAAAAAGGAGAGGGCCGTGTTACGACTCGTTACAAGCGACCCTTTGCTCTCACGCCCTGCCCAAGCACGGGTTTCCCACACAGATGCAATACTCGCCAGTGAATGACATTCATCTACCGGACATACAAGGAGAGCTATTTTACGGGCGTCAGATTGACCATCAACGCAGGCTTCTCCCACAGCATGTATGTCTTCTGAGTTCTTGCCCAGTCGTCATTGTCAGACTCGGGAGCCAAAGCCAAGTCGAAAGTCCACAGTAGCTTGGACAGAATCACGCGGATCTCGGCGTATGCTAGGCTGGACGGCTGTCAGCGTGGAAGAGTGTACGTAGAAGAGATACTGTGTGATACTGACCTTTTGCCAATGCAGTTGCGAGGGCCGAATGAGAAAGGTTGCGAGACATTCTTCTTATCCCTGGCAAACATCTCCGCGGGTACGTCGTCCTTCTCCATCAGGTGAGGAGCCAGCCAGCGCTCAGGTAGGAAATCAAGTGGGCGGTAAAAGTTGTCCGGGTGCCTCGACGCCGCAAAAGGATGGACTCCTACTGTCATGCCCCCGGCAACCCAACGGCCCTCGATTGCTTCCCCCTTTCCCGGCACCAACCGGGGAAAGGCGTTGGGTGAGGGAGGATAGAGCCTGAATGCTTCCTCGACCACGACTGGCATGTATTTCAGCTCATTGGTCGTCACCATGGTGATGTTCTCGTAGCTCGTGAACGTACTTCTGACTTCTCGCACCATTCGCCGGTAGACAGATTGATGGCGGAGGACAAAATACAGAAGCCCCGAGAGGAGCGTGGCGGTGGTCTCGCTGCCCGCGATGATCAGAATGACGGCCGTCTCCTGGATTTCCGGCATGGTCATGCCCGCGGACCCTTGCTTGTTCTCCCGGAGGATGTAGTTCATAAAGTCCTTTCGCTGGATTTGGTCCTTTCGAGCGATCCGCCTGTCAAGCTTCGCGTAGGCTTTGGCATCGGCTTCCTCTTTGGCCCTCTGCTGCTCCTTAGGCGCAAGGAGTTTGGCGACGGGAAGCAGTCCATAGTAGACAATGGCCTGCATCCAGGGATACACCTTCACCCCCTGAAAGATTTGCTTCACCCACTCATGATACTGAGTCTCCTGGAGGCACCCAAATGGTTCGCCAAAGGCCAAGTCGCCCGTAATGTCGAATGTACACCAATTGAACCAGGAGGTCACATCTTGCGGCCCCTCTTTACACTTATCGGTGAGTCGTGAAATCATTTGGTCAATGAAGTTCTGGACCAAGTCCTCCTGTTCTCTTATCGCTTTCTCGGAAAATGCATGGGATATTAGCCGTCGCATTCGAGGGTGGTTTCCCGACGACGCAGTCACGATGGACTCGGTATTTTTGAACGTTGGGAGAAGTCCTGGACCTTTGAGATCCTTGGGCATTTCCACTGGTCGATGACCGTAGCTTGATCACAGGTTGGCCCGAAACGAACATCGTAGGTCTCGATGATTATCAGAACACTTACATTTGCTTCCACGCGTTGTCGCTGATGTACGACAGCTCATTCGGGGCCGTTCTGACGACGGGGCCGTATGTTTGATGGAGATCCGAGATCTTATTGTGTATCTCGCCGCTTATCGCAGTCCAGATCCAGGGCAGCCTAGACGCAGCCCACAATTTGGGCCCTGGATAATGGCGAAGGGGATGGAAGTAGACATTGTAGACCGCTTTGCCAACGACACTGACAAAGATCTGGGGTTTGCTCGTTAGCTGTCACCAATAAATCTTCGATCTTGGGAATGCACATTACTGCGACGACTCCCCACATCAGCATTCTCAGAACCGAAGAGACAGCCACCATTTTCAATCGTGCTTCAATGTTAGAACGTGCCGGATGACAGGGGAGTCTTGTGCAACAGGACCCCAAGACAACGTTTAATAATACACTACGACCAAGGTTTCACATCATACGAGTCGTATAACGCGACCTGACTTGGGTTCGAAGTGCTGGTCGTACTGCCTGACTGTTCACTTCCATAAGGGCTGGCTGCAATAGAAGATGCACGGAAAATGAGTTCCTTTTTGAGTTCTATGACTAGACCACGCTTCGAAGGATTCCTTGATGTGGCCTGGAAACACCGTGGAAGAGGCTTCATCTGTTGACTTTATTTGTACACTTGGCCTCAAGAGAGCCGAGTCAGATCGAGAACAACACGACCCTGAATCTTGCCAGCATGGAGATCCTCAAAGACCTGTAGTCGAGTCAGCCAAAAGACTCGATGGACAAATCATTCAGTTGCAGCAGACCTCTGTGAGTTTATTCATTGGCTCTACCCGTATGGCTGGGCGAACATGGCCATGGGCTGCCGGTTGCAGGCAATCAATCGCCATAATTCTGTTTCCGGTCACGGCGCCTGAGGTGAATGGTTCATCAGTTTGGGAGAGCAGCAGAAAGAGAGAGGAGACACGATCACGCACCTTTTATTTTCCAGAGATTCCCGATGATCTTGAAGGGGGCAGCATTTGGCATGGGGTGAGGGTCGACTTCCGGGATTCCCACGCAGACCAGTGTTCCCGCGTACCGGAGGAAATCGAGCGCCTGATCGTATGCTCTGGAGCTGGCATTGCAGACCATAACGGCATGACATCCACCATCGGTGACTTCCTTGACTCTGGCAGCAAGGTCTGCCGAGTTGAATTGGGTAAAGTCAAGAAAGACATCTGCCCCGAGGGACTTGCAAAAGTCCGCTTTGGAACCGTGGTCGACGGCGATGACTCTCAGATTGAACGCCTTTGCATACTGAACTGCGAGATGACCGAGGCCCCCTCCAGCCCCGGATACTAGAAGCCAGTCACCCAGCTTACACTCGCTGTATAATAGAGCTGACCACACGGTCACTCCGCCACAGAGAAGAGGGGCAGCTGCCTCAGAAGAGAGTCCCTCGGGAATGGGAGTGACATATCGGGGATCGCTGATGATATATTGTTGAAATGTACCGGGCGTTTTATACCCTGCGACCTTGCGCTTCTTACAACGATTGTCGAACCCAGCGAGGCACTCGGAGCAGATCAGACAGGCCGACGTGATCCACTTCACTCCAACGCGGTCACCCAACTGGACCTCTGTCACTCCGTCACCCAGCTTAACGACGTATCCAACGCCCTCGTGTCCTCCAATCTAAACGGTAAGCACTCGACATCAGCGGAGTTCCTCAGGACTGCCGGTTCGGGCAACACAAACCTGACCGCGCGGTGTCGGCTCGGGCATATGTCCATAAGAATTCATGATGAAGGCAAAGTCCGTGTGGCAGACACCGGAGTAAAGGCTTTGGTTTCTATTAGATTACCACACAACGAGACATCAACTTCCTCTGGGGCTGAGGGTGTAAGAGGCGCACAGTTTGATGAGGATCTCTCCCCGTTGAGGCTCTGGTGTTTCGACATCAATTACTTCAGTGGCCAGAGTACCAGGATTTGAGTAGATGACGGCTGAGCGAGTCAGATCCTAGTCGCAACATGGCTCAACATGGACTCTTTCAATACCTTTGTGCGTCTTTGGAATATCTTCAGTCGTCATGATGCCGGGTTCGAATCGTTCTAGTGATTGAGGTTTGGCTGCTGAATCCCTTCCACCAACTATCTGGGTCAGAGACTATATGTGTATGCTCTATTTTTCAGGCCTCTGAAGCTTTCAAGTCACTTGCCCACAGCACCATTACGGGTAGATCGGCAAGTCGCGATCTTTCCAGTTCAGGGTGCGAGGACCCACACGCGACCCACACAGACATGGAAGGTTTCCTCATTAGGCATTTACGACAACTGAGATACGACATTTGGACGCCCACGTGACCCAAGAATTCCTGCGGGGTCGGCTCCCTCGTCGACCCCAGATTTCAGAGCAGTTTTTCCACCATGTGTGCTCAATCACACTTCCCTTGTCGAGTCTTTTTGTTCTACTAACAAATCCCGGAAATGGTGGACCGCGATACCTTCATGGACGAGTCAGCTCCTGTCACAGAGGCAGCAGCTAACGAACAGACCTCAGCGTCCACTCCCATCACCGGCCAGAAGCGCAAGCCCTATGTGACCAGTGCATGGTGAGGTTAATCTCAACACGCTGCAAATTGTTCACTGACGATGATTCCATCAGCTCTGAATGCAAAAAGCGAAAGGTTAGGGTGGGTAAATCTTTGGCGCGCGGAGCACGGCGCGATTTGCTGACTTTTTTAATTCTCTCCCCAGTGCTCGGGAAAGCGACCTTGTAGCCAATGTTCCATCGGGCACTTGACTTGCGAGTATTTGCCTGATTCGAGACGTCGAACGACGACTGTCCAGGCGAGCAACAAGCCCGAGGATGTCACAGAGGACCAATTCTCGGCGGCCGGATGCGCCCCCGCGAGCAGCACCACAAAGGAAACGGATGAGGAGAGCTCATGGAAAGCCGACGTGCTCAACAAACTGCAGATGCTGTCCGATGAAATCAGAAGCTTGCGGCAAACCACGGCCTCTCAAGACAATGGCCGGTCGAGTTTGAATCTCACCATGACTCCGGACTCGGGCGAGATCTTGAACACGTACAACCCAAGCAGTGTCTCCAAAGCCGTCTTTCCAGGCGGCCCTAGTATCCTCAATCCCCTCAACACCATGAAAGAGCCCGTTGAAAGTGGCGGGAATGAGGATAAATTAGTCCAGGAAGATTGTTGGATGGCTTTCTGCTCCACCATGACTGACTGTTATATTCGAGAACTGCGAATCTGGGACGCCCAAGTCAGGCATTCTGGTCTAGGCCCGGTGAGAGAAACCTTGGACCTGTACTTCTCTCTCATGAATCCCCACTGTAAGTGTTGCAACCTGCCGATGCTACAGGCATAAAGTTGCGAATTCTACTAATACCATGTGAACCAATTGTTTAGACCCTTGTTTGGACTCCAAGGCCTTCGAGCAAGATTTCCAGCGATTCGCCGGCAACGTTCAAGAAGTGACACTGGAGCGTATCCAGTTCATTGCGCTGGTCAATCTGATTCTGGCCGTAGTCAAGAATGTCGACGAGTTTTGTCCGGAAGACGACATCATTCCCGGCTGGTACGAGTTTACCAAGGCGGAGCACCTCTTGAACCATGTCATCAAGAGCGGCAAAGGAAACCTCACGACCATACAGTGTCTCATCCTGAAGGCCTCGTACCTCTTATACATTGAGCGAAACGACTGGGCCTACGACGAGATCGGCACGGCGGTCCGACTTTGTTTTCAAACGGGCCTGCACAATCAAAGTTCGTGGACTGGCCTTTCACCATTGGAGGTTCACATGAGACAGCGAATCTTCTGGTGTGTCTACTGCCTCGAGAGGAACATCTCGCACCAGTGTGGCGCGCCGTACCAGATGAGCGACCAGGACATTGCGGTGGAGCTGCCGAGCGATTCAACCGTTGAAGGAGTCAGCGTTGGCGGTGGAGAGGGAGGGTTTTCGCCCATCACGTACCAGCTGGCGACCATCAAATGGGCCAAGGTCTGCTCCGATATGTGGGATGCCATGTTCGGGGTCAACTCTCGCTCTCCGACAGCTGAATTGATTGCCGTCACCGACGCGCGCATCCTTTTGTTGATTGAAGAACTCCCGGTTCACCTCCGGTGGTCCTCCGACTTTCTCAAAGTCGCAGTCCAGCTCCAGTATCCTCATTATATTGTTCGACAGGCAATTGTGCTACACCTGGTGCGTTTGATCTCCGCGTGTGTCCTGACCAAGGGCTACAGATTGTTCTTGGTGGTTGACTTTTAATATGACAGCGATCTAACCATCTACGGCTATTGTTACGACGCAGTGACCTCCTGGGCTCCAAGAGAAGCGTGCAGGTGGCGGCGCTATGCGTGGACATTGCTCTGGCTTCGGTGGAAGCCATGCATCAGTACCATTTCTCCGAGTTCAGGAGAAACTCTGGACGGTTCCCGACCGTCTCGTTCCTCTCTGGGGTCATCTTCACGCTTACTTCGGTCATTCTGGCCAAGAAGGCAGACCGGCCCACGCTGTCGAAAGCGGGTGGGGGTTTTCTCAAGGCTGTCCAGCTCCTGGAGGACATCGCTCCCGGGTTCACCCTGGGGCGGCGCCTCTTCAAACGCCTACAGAAAGTCATCAAGGCAACAACACAAACTATGGCGGAGAATGGGAATTCCTCGTCCAACGATGTACCGGCCGATGCAACGGGGCTTGTAATGCCGGATCATCAGTTGGCTTCTTCAACCCCGGCGCCAGTCCCGGTGATCCAGCCCAGCTTCGACTTTGACCTCGACGATCTGCTACACTTTGACCGGTCGTCGTTTGCGGATAATGCAGACAACGAGTTTGTGCAATTTGCTTTCAGCCAGCTCAATTCACCGCTGGCTGCCTTTGGAGGCTCAGCACTGCCGAACGGGAATGCGGTCAAAGACCCCTGAGATATCATTTTTGCTACTCTAGAAGATCGCAATTATGTTGGGAGGACTTCCCACTCCCCCCCTCACATGTAGCGGAGCCGAGGTGACAAAAAAGCTCCATCGGCCCTGCCTCTTGCATTCCTCGCTCAATGCTTCGAGATCGAACATTTCTCCTTTTGAATCGGGCGTCAGCTTTTGTCCCGTCCTACTGTGTCTGTGATCGATTATGGCCATGCTGTAGTGACTCACCGATAGGCATTCCCCAGCCGGACAACATGATCTCATGCAACGACCAGCCTTGGAGCCCGGCCTCTGGAGGCGAGTTGTAGTTGGGGATGCGCTCCCATCCCGGAGCATCGCCTGCTCCTGCCACGATGCCGCTATCCCACAGCCACTTTGCCATCTTGGCCGAGGTTTCAACACCTACCCAGATCGGGGACTTTTGATTGCTCCACGCGATCTTTTCCGCATCCGACAGAGCGTTGTATCCCACCCAGAACCCCGAGCGGACAAACAGCAGATCACCCTGCCGGATCTCGACCCCTTGTGCGGCTGCACACGCTTGGAGCTCTTCCACGGGAATTGCGTGGTCGGCAGTGTCGCCGATCAGATCATACTGTTTACCCTGAGCCTGAGACCAGGAATAGTAGTCAAGCAAGACTCCACGCCCAGCGATGGCCCCGTTCCTCACCCATGCTGTTGTTTTTCACCGTTGTCAGAGACCAGGAAACGTATCGTTGACTGTTTGAGATTCCAGACTCACCATCTGTTCCAAGGACAGTAGGGTGCGCGTTGGGACCGGAAATGTCGTCGACAGATGTTCCATTGTAAAACTTTGCCAATTTGATGTAAGATACGTGCCTGAACCCATCCCATTGGGCACCTATCTGCGACACCCCAGAATTGCGCCAGTCAGTTGAAAGGCGGCGCAGATGCACTAATCGGACACTCTCACCTGGGTGTTGAACTCTACAATATCGTCATGTACCGGTCGTCCTCCGCGACGATAAATTGTCTGCTTGAATTTGGAGCGCTCAGAGCCTGGGACAAGGAGCACATCGATCGGCGGGTCCAGAGATAGACGGACGCCTGTGCGAATCTCGCTTTTGGCAGCGGCCAGAGTATTCTCGGCAGTGAGCAGGTTCAAAGCCCCGAGCTGGTCGTCATCCCCGTAGAGGCCCCAGGCTGAAAACGGCGGATCATCTGGACGGAGAGGGAGGCTCTCAAATGGAGGTCTGGGTCTGGGTGCTTGTGACATTTTCGTTGACAGTGATGATGGTGCTTGCGTCGAGCTTTTGATTTTCCAGCGGATGGGTATAGGAAGGGCAAAATATGTAGAAGCTCGTTTCAAACTGCGAACAATGTAGATCCGTGCAGCATTGAAGATGACCTCGGGAGTATGAGACACGGAATGCTCATTAGCCCGAGACAAGGACGAGCATGTCTGTCCTTGGGTTCCGAGACAACGGGTAGCCGTTATTGGCTTCCCTCACATGAGACCGAATACTGGCTGGACGAATACCAGATACGAACAGAAAGGGTCGCGGGGTCTGCTGATCTGTGGCGCCACAACCGCACAAGTTTTCTTCACTTCATTGTGAGGTCGTCGGGGACGAGTCGTTCTCTACCTACTCATTTGGGAGATATGGAGACGAGTGGAACCCGTTCTTCGGTTTGAGACACTCAACACAGGCGCCGATAATCTATAGTGGCCTGGCACTTGGGCACATAACACCTTTTCTACCGACGATGCGTATTTCTACCCTTGTCCGGCACTCGTTTCAATCACTCTACATTTCACTCAAGCGCTCTCTGACAAGGCCGTGCTACCAACATCTCTCCTGGTTCTGGTTCTAAAACAGTAGAACGCCCACTTTACACAATCATCATGCCTGAGAGCACGGTTCCTCCACGGACGTGGAGCAGCATGATCTATGACCATGAAATCGACGAGGCGCGGCCGATGAAGGTCATCTGCATCGGAGCTGGGATTTCTGGGATCCTCACTGGGATTCGACTCCCGCAACAGATTGAAAACCTCGAATTGGTCATTTACGACAAGAATGCCGATGTTGGCGGTACGTGGTATGAGAATAGGTAAGGACGAACTTCTCCCCAGGTCACATTTTCACAGGATAGACCCGCTGTAACAGCTGGGCTTATATTTCTCCAGATATCCAGGGGTCAGATGTGATATTCCAAGTCCCGGGTATCAGCTCACATTTGAATCCAACTCGCAATGGAGCGAATTCTACGCCAGCGGCGCAGAGATCCAAAATTACATGGTCAATCTCGCCAAAAGATACGATGTCTATCGCTTCTGCAAGTTCAATCACGAACTGGTAGAGGCCAAGTGGCTGGAACTCCCGGGGAAATGGGAGGTGACCTTTCGACAAGTCGATACAGGAAAGGTAGGTCTCTCAGAGCATCTTTTGCGCGCGTCCACGTCCACGTCAAACTAACTAGAGATTTCTCCCTGGCAGAGGGTGACCGATCAGGCAGACGTGATCATGCTCGGAATGGGTCTGTTGAACAAATGGGACTGGCCCAAGATACCAGGTCTCGACAAGTTCAAGGGCACCAAAGTCCACACGGCCAAGTGGGATACTTCGCTGGATCTAAAGGGAAAGAATGTCGCCTTGATCGGAGCCGGGTCAACTGGTATCCAAATCCTACCCGAAATCCAACCCATAGTCAACCGGGTCGATCACTACATGAAAGGAAAGAACTGGATCTCGCCCACGGGCATCGGTGGCGACGAGCTGGCGAGGAGGAAGGCCGAGACTGGAAACTGTGAGTTTGATTTTCTAGCTAGATTTTACCTTTTCTTGTCCTTTTTCTAACAGAGGTGGTCCCGGCAGTCAAGCACAGCAAGGAGGAGCTGGAGCTGTTCAAACGCTCTCCCGAAGAGTATCTCAAGTTCAGGCACAAGATCGAGAACGACATCATGCAAGCGCCCCTGGCGGCCTTTTACGGGACACCCGAACAACGGAAGTTCCACGAGATGAGCATCAAGCACATGCGCGAAAAGCTGTCGTCACGACCCGACGTCCTAGAAGCTCTGATGCCTGACTGGGCACCTGGGTGCAGGAGGCTGACTCCCGGCCCGGGATATCTCGAGGCAATCTGCCAGCCTAATGTGGACTATGTGAGCACGCCGATCAAACAGATCCACGAAAACAGCATCGAGACTATCGACGGACGCACTCGAGAGGTCGAGATCATTATTTGTGCAACAGGCTTTGATGTGTACGTGTGCTGTTTTCCCCTCTATCTCTCTTCTATTGCTGATGTAGATGCAGGTCCCGTCAATCAGGACCAAAGTTCTTCGGCCAGGGTGGATGCGATCTTTACGATGTCTGGAACCCCATTCCCGAGGCTTACATGTCAATGTGCCCTCCCAAAATGCCAAACATGTTCATCTACTTTGGGCCAAACGGCGGTCCCATGACCGGCAGCACCATGCTCATGCTGGAATGGGTCTGTGATTATGCCACGGCCGCGATCCAAAAACTTCAAAGGGAATACTACAAGTCCATGGTTGTAAAGTACGTACTGCCATGTGGTTCTCTTCTTCCTCAATTCTCTCAGCTTGTGGGAGTTGGTTACATGAACTGACTGACTTTTTCGCGATAGGCCATCAGCGAACAAGGCATTCAGCCGCCATGTCGACAAGTTCTTTGCAAAGACGGTCTTTACTCAACCTGTAAGCAGTGTTCCCTTTCCCCCCGTGTCAGGACCTTGCCATTGGCAGAACTAACAGTATGGTAAACAGTGCAATTCGTGGTTCAAACGAGGAACCGTCGACGGACGAGTCGTAGGTGAGTCTTACCGCCACAACCATCCTCACCTCGGTTCTTTTTTATTTTTTTTTTTCTTGTTCCCACACTCTCAGATCGCGTTACATACTGATCCAGGGCCTGAAACAGCAAACTGGCCGGGTTCGGGCGTCCACTCGCGCAAAACCCTCCTCAATCCGAGGTGGGAAGATTTCGACTACGAGGTGATGCCCGAGATCGAGGAGAACGTTCTGGGCTGGATGGGCAACGGCATGACGGTGGCCCAGAAGAACAAGACCTGCGCCACGGACTACCTGGAGCTGAAACAGACGGTCAATCGTCCCAAGCCGGTACATCCAGAGTACAGCGTGCTGTCACCTCCGTCCTTTCACCAGGGCCAGAAAAGCTCGGAGAGGAGCCAGAACGGTAATGCCGAACAGAACGGCACGGCCAGTTAGAACGAGAGAAAGACGATCAATTTTGTATGATATAAGAGCTAGGCAGATACTCTAGCTGCGTCAACAAAGTTCCAGCCAGCCGCATAGATTGATGGGCATTATTACCCGTGGATAGTCCTTTTTACCAAAGGTATGCGTATACCTGTCTCGTCATGATCCCCGCCCAACTTTGGATATTGTTCAAATAAAGAAGATTTTCAACGAGTTGCAGTACTATTCGTAGCTCGGGTTCAACTCCACGATATAGCCAGCTTCAAGCACTGGGCCAAGCTGGAAACCACAGACTCGAAGAGCCGAAGAGAGAATCGTCCTCGGTCGCCGACCAGGAGCTCATCGCTCCCCATTCTGACAGCGACGGGTCAAGTCGATACGTCCGATCGGCAGGCGAAGCCGAGACAAATAGATCCCACGCCATGTTGTCGTGCTGGGTTTCTTTGGTAGACGCGACTGAATCCGAGGCTGAGGACCTGCCCAACTCAGATATCACCGGTAGGGGTGCCGTTGTCGCTATAGACGATGCAGAGTCGGCTTCGGAAGCAGTCGTCTCGGCCTGGCTCACGGGTTGCTGTTGGACCCCAGGGAGCCCTGGTAGGAGCGGCGGCTGCATTTCGGCAAATGAAAAGGCTCTGTCAAATGAGTCGTCTAGATACGTTGTGTTCTTGGAGCAGTCGACAGCAGCTTCCTGGGCGCCTGCGGCACCAACGCTGCATATTACAGCCTCAACAGATGAGGTTACCGAGAAGGCCGTCGGGGTGCTTGCTCGGATCGACAGTTGTGTAGTGTTCACCGGTGGTAAGGTGCCCACCGCCATGCGTGTGTCAGCACAGGAGTTGCGAATCCCAAGGGGATCCTCTGTTGCTGAAGCCGGACGGATCAGCTCGGCGAGCTCCGGGAAGTCGACGGCAAATTCATCTTCCATTCTCAGGCAATTTATATCATGGAGCCACCGTTCTGTGGACGGCATCAACCTGATGTCGCAACCGTTGGAGTCGACTTGTAGGACTTCTTGTAGCTTGGCGTCCGTTGAAATCTGAACGTCGAAATGTTCGACGAAGGAGCTGTATAGATTCCGGCCTTGGTAGCTTTGCCAGTCTCGCATCAGATGGGTTCTGATCCCGGGCCTATGAGTTGGGAATAAACAGGTGAGCAGATGAATATGGAGAATCCTTTGAGGGAAACTGGCAGTGTCTTACCAAGGTATAAAGTCGATAAAGGATGGGTGTGGGCACCACATTTGAGAAGACAAAGGCCGGTACCAGGCCGGGCATTGGGCCAAATTTCTATGGGTAGGAAACACCAACAACTAAAAGTAGGATTTGACTCAGTCTCCTCACACTGGCTTGAGCAGCGGCGGCATGGGGCTCGGCTCACCGTCAAAATTCGATACAGTACCCAAAACATTACTGTTCTTCCCAGCCTCGACTTGTATGTCCAGCACCTGATAGCTTCATAGGCAGCAATAGCGAGTTCTCTCCTCATGGTGGTCAGACTATCGTCGTCGTCGCTGTCAGGGTACTTGGTTGGAACCATGCTTTCGAGGACCGGGTTCGAAGATGGCGCAGACGACTCAAGATCCTGGACCAGCAGATAGAGTATGTTTGGAGTTCGGGCAAGGCTCCGCAGTCGCTGTTGGGACATCAGACCTGGGGGGCGACCAATGTGGAAAAGGGCATTTGCGACGCTAAAGACGCCGCCACCAGAATGGCCGGTGTTGGATCTCCAAATCATAATTGCTTCGAGAAAGTCATCATCCAACAAGTTTGATCTGGAACCGAGTCGCCCTAAAGCGGCCCAGATACCAGGAAATGGCGAGGGTGAGTCTGGGACAGCCATGCGTGAATCCAGCTCGGTGGTCAGATCGAAAGAAGCATCGCACTGCGACCGCCCTTCCTCAATTGAACCCACTTGTAGCGTCTGGCCTTCTGTGTAGAAAGGGACGGAACCGGCTGAGTCAATGACTGCATGTTGGGTCCCATTCCCCGGCTGCTCAACGGTTGTCGCCTCTCGAGAGGCGATTCCCTCGGTTGTGCTCCCGCGGGAGGACTGTTGAAGCAAGGACGACGATTCTTCCCGGCTGAGTCCCAGCGCCGAGCAAACAGATTGCAATTTACTACGGAGGGTCTCCTTTTCGGCCTCGAGGCTCCTGTTCTCCTTGAGCAGCTCTGCCACAATCTTGTCAGACTGCTGGGTGCTGAGCAGGTCCAGTCGCTCCTGCAAGGCAGCGATGGTCTGGCGGGCTTTGCTTCGATTCTCCCGCACCAGTTGCCGGTCTGCAGCCCTCTTTCGACTCAGTTGTTGGGCTGTCAACTTGTCCTTCCATCCTGATTTCGATCCCGACTCACCATCCTTGGCATGCGGCGAGGGAGTCGTACGAGGTCGAGCCATGAGGACTCTCCCTCCAGGCTTACATGCGAGTTGCTGAGTCCAGCTAGATGGGTTCAAGTCGTCTATGCAAAAGGCAAGAAACCTGAAAATGTATGGGAAGAAGCGCAAGGACACAAACCTCGCAGGTAGTATTGGTGGCAAATTGCGGTTTGTGTGGGATGGTCACAGGCGGGAAGCTGGAACTCTGGGGAAGCTCCCTGCGGAGAAGGATAGACAGAAGAATAGACCCGGAATAATTGGGCCGGGCGTGGTCGACGTCGTCCACGCCGCTATTGGTGGAGAAGAGGCTTGGCATATCCACCACAGCATTCGTCTCCACATGATATAGACCCTCCACCAGCCGTGCCATGGTCACCTAAGACACTCTCTTTTTCACTCTGTTGGCTCACTATTTCCATTTCCAAGCAAACGCCTGCCAAGGCATGGTGGGGGATGGTTTTTTGGCCGGACAGACTGGCCGAGGTTAGCGGAAAGGGTGGCAAGACAATTCCAGAATTCCAGAATTTCAGGGGGGATTCCGCCGGAATCGCACGTTCACATTTCCAGGTCTAGATGCGGCTCTCAGTTCGCAGGCCACTTTAACCTGTTTTCGCAGATGTGGTACCCGCTCCAATTCCGGACAGCTATCTAGAGGAGGAGGTCAATTTACCCCTTAGCCCCTCAAGATTCCATTACGGACGGCATGTGCTTTGGGTTGATGCATGTTGCCAGGACATGACCTTCGTGGGCGATTCCACCTCGCCGCACGGAACCGGAAAGGACTGAGGGAGAAGGAGTAGATGGAATATGATGTGCAAATATCGGCAATGGCCAAAGGCTGTTGCAAGAAGGCCTTTTCGAACATCGGACCTGGCTTCTCAACTGGGTGCTCCTAATACTTACCGCTTGATTCCTCGGCCTGTCTCTACCATCCTTGTCCTTTGCCATTTTTCCTTAGGGTTAGTTGTCTTTGCTCACGGCCTGTTGTATTGAGAGTTGTATCTGGAGTCAGAACAAACGCTAGGATGCCAGGAGTTTACCGTCACGTCAATGGAGAAGCCAACGGCCACTGCAACGGCGTGGGTTCAGATGGCGATTTGAATAGCCACACATATCCATCTCGGCCCGTCGTCATTGCCGGATGCTCAGGCGGTATGTTTACGGACAAGTCTACGATGAATGTTTGTTGACATCCCATTTTCTAGGAACGGTCGACCGAGCTCGTGCTCTCTTGGACCTTTCTCAAATCCCTGAGATTGACGTTATAACGGGGGATTGGATGTCCGAGGCTGATATGACGGTCAATGGACTGAAGAGATGGCAGCTCAAGAAGACGCTCCAGAATGTCAACGCCCTCGGACAGTCTCGCGAGGGCTATCACTCCAACTTTCTCACCAAGATTGAGCCAGCCTTGAAGTATCTGGCGCAAAACGGGACCAAGGTCGTCTGTAACGCGGGCGGCAGCAACCCTCACGGCCTGGCCGAAGCATTGAAGGAGAGGATACAGCACCAGGGCTTAGATCTGAAGGTTGGCTGGATCGAGGGTGACGATGTGAGCGAGGCCGTTCTCGATTTGGTTCACTCGAAAACGGCCAAGTTGACCAATATTACCACGGGCAGAGACATTGAGGAGTGGATGTTTGACCCCATTAGCGCTCAGTGCTATCTGGGAGCGTTTGGAGTGGCCCGTGCCCTGAAGGACTGTGACATTGTCATCTGTGGAAGAGTGGCCGACTCCTCTCCCTGCATCGGAGCAGCCATGTGGTGGCACAACTGGACCCGGGACAATATCCAAGAGCTTGCCTCGAGTCTTGTTGCAGGCCACTTGATCGAGTGCAGCACCTATGTCACTGGTGGCTGCTATTCGGGCTTCAAAAAATGGAAGGGCACCGCTGTCGACCTGGGTTTTCCGATTGCTCACATCGATCACAAAGGTGGCATCGAAATTACCATGGAACCTGGGAGAGACGGAGAAGTGTCGATCGACACGGTCAGCTCCCAACTTTTGTACGAGATTCAAGGTCCTCTGTACTATAACTCGTCGGTGGTCGCCAACTTGGAGAACATGCAATTGGAGCAGACTGGTCCAAACAGAGTGCGTGTCACCGGGATTGAAGGGTTACCACCACCACCGACGACCAAAGCAGGCATCACAGCGTTTGGCGGGTACCGAGCCGAATACCATGTATACCTGACTGGCCTCGATATCGCTGAAAAAGCCGAGATGGTGAAGCAGCAAACCCTTGCAGCAATGGGACCCACCGTGCAGAAGCAATTCTCTCTCCTGAAATTCCAGGTCATCGGCGAGCCGAATCCCAATGCTCGAACACAAGATGCCGCCACAGTTGACATGCGTATATTCGCACAGAGTCAGGATGAAAGCCTGCTAGGTCCGGACAAGTTTTTGACCTGGTGTAAAATGAACATCCTCCAAGGATGTCCGGGTTTGACACCAACAAACGATCCTCGACAAGGCACAGCCAAGCCGTACTACGAATATTGGGTCACTCTTATTGACCAAGCACTGGTCAAAGAAATGGTCCATTTACCAGACGGCACCGTTGTTGACATTCCAGCTCCAGATTTCACTCGATCCTACCCTGTACAGCAAAAGTCTTATGACACTGCAGATCCTTTACCAGCTGACCACTGGGGTCCGACTCTCCGGGCGCCTCTCGGACGCGTCGTTCTCGGACGTTCAGGAGACAAGTCATCTGACGCCAACTTGGGCCTCTTTGTCCGGCACCAAGACGAATGGGACTGGCTTCGGTCGACATTCTCAGTTGCAAAACTGGTGGAGCTGCTCGCCGACGACTACAAAGGCAAGCCAATTGATAGGTTCGAGGTAGCCGGCCTGAAAGCTGTTCACTTTCTGCTACGGGATCATTTGGATCGGGGCTACAATGCTGGAGCTGGACTGGATTGTCTCGGAAAAAATTTGGTAGAGTACATTCGCGCCAAACAAATAGACATACCCGTTGCTTTTCTGGAGCGGGCAGATATATAGCACACATGGGTAGACGTATTGCTTCATTCGCTGTTAAATAGCCTTGTAGATCTCCAAACCACCATTTCAGACCATAGACGAATGACATTCCCTCAGAAAAATGCATGCCAGAACCCGGACCCTTACAACTCTACTGTCCCCTTTGAATCATGACTCTTGCTGGTAAACCAATAACTACACTTAATATCACGAGACTTTGCAAGGTCGGTCATACCGTAAATCATCTCGTGATCTCGATATAAATGCAAAATTTGTCGTTTGTCGTTCGCTACGATCGGTGAGTTATGCGGCGGTCTTTGTCGGCCAGCGGATCAAATATCTGGTGCCTTTCACCTTCCGCAATTCTATGAACTCGATCTATCTGTCTCAAGGTTATACATCAGTTTGAAATCCAACTCTTTACAACACCTCAAAGACGCTCAACGCAGAACAAAACATGGCGAACGGCGAAACGAATGGAGTCCACTCGGAGTCCAATGGGGTCGTAAATGGCGAAGTCCAGCATTGCGACGTCGTGATCGTGGGTGCCGGTTTCAGTGGCATGTACGGACTTCATCGGCTGCGCAAACTGGGCTACAAGGTCAAGGCATTCGAAATGGGAGGCGACTTTGGCGGCGTGTGGTACTGGAATCGCTACCCAGGAGCCCGTGTTGACTCGGAATGGCCATACTACCAACTCAGTCTTCCCGAAGTCTGGAAGGATTGGAATTTCACCGAACGCTTTCCCAGCCACACTGAGATCCGCAACTATTTCGCCCACGTCGACAAGGTACTGGATATCCGCAAGGACGTGGTGTTCAACGCGAGGGTGAACTCTTGTACCTGGGACGACAAGGAGCATCGGTGGACAGTCAAAACCGAGGCCGGCCACACGACTGTGTGCAAATACCTCTTCCTCTGTACAGGGCTCCTTCATCGCCGACACTATCCCGAGTTTCCAGGTTTCGACCAATACGAGGGAGAAGTGCACCATTCCGGATTTTGGCCAGAGGACCTAGACGTGACTGGGAAGAGGGTGGTCGTGGTCGGTGCCGGGGCGACGAGTATCCAGATTGTGCAAGAGTTGACCAAGAAAGCAAGCCACCTGTCGATGTTGATGCGGCGTCCCAGCCTGTGCCTGCCCATCCGGAACCGCCCTATCAGCGAGGCGGAACAGGACGGCATGAAGCCTTACTACGACGTGCTCTTCAAGGCCGGCCGGAAATCTGCGGGCGGCTTACCCAGGGGGCCTCCCGATGCCTCAATCTTCGATGTCTCGGACGCCGAACGAGAGCAATACTACGAAGAGCTCTGGAAGTGTGGATCCTTTTCCTTTGGAGCTTCCAATTACAAAGAGATATATTTCGACCAGAAAGCAAATCGCATTGCGTACGACTTCTGGGCCAAAAAAACACGGGCTCGCATGTCGAACCCCGTAAAGAGAGACTTGATGGCCCCTCTGGAGCCTCCCTACCCCATTCTGACCAAGCGATGCCCCTTGGAGATCGACTATTACGAAATGCTGGATCAGGACCATGTCGACATTGTGGATCTAAACACCAATCCTATCAAAACGTTTACTCCTACAGGAATCGCTTTTGCCGATGGCACCGAGAAAGATTTTGACATCGTCATCCTGGCCACGGGCTTTGAGAGCTTCACTGGCTCGTAAGTTCTCTTGTTGTGTGCGTGAGACATGCTCTTCTTTCAGCTGACTGGATCCTAGGGTTTCAAACATGGGCTTGTGTGACAAACACGGGGTGGACATTAAAAACATATGGTCCAAGGATGGAATCAATACGTATCTAGGCATGATGGTCCGTGGTTTCCCCAACTGCTTTATGGTCTACAGTCCACAGGGTAAGTGTTGCACTCCGTTCCTCCTCAACTCCGGTACTCTGTCCTGATCCTCGAATGCTTGCAGCCCCGACTGCGCTTTCCAATGGGCCGACAATCCTGGAATGCCAGGTGGACTGGGTGGTCGATGCCATTGACAAGCTGGAGAAGGAAGGTATCGAAACGATAGAGCCGACGCAGGAAGCACAGGATGCGTGGGGACAAATGATTCACGACATGAGCATGAAGACATTGTTCCCCTTGACGAATTCCTGGTGGACAGGTGGCAACAGTAAGTTTTGGGACTTTCTCGTCCATCCCTTTGACGCCAGTTCTAACGTTTTTTTTTTTCACCTAGTCCCTGGGAAAAAGATCCAAATGCTCACCTACACGAATGGCATTGCTCAGTACGAACCACAATGTCGGGAGACCCTCGATGGTTGGAAAGGATTTGAAATCGTCAAGGCATAAATGATATTCAGACTATACAACCCAGGATAGCATAGAAATGTTACATGCCACTTCAGAGCGAGATGATAGGATATGTAATTGTATCTCCAAACAGTTGAGATACACATTCATCTAGACAGCTCCAAAGCATAAAAGTCATACGCTACTTCAATACACCAGCCATGAAGTGCATTTGGAAACTTTGTGTTTCTGTCGTTCCACGAGCAGACCCCATGGCACAATAGACGTGGTCTGACATTCTGAACGGGTCACACCGTGTCGTTTCGATGGGAGTCCCCCATTTTCCCCGGTCGTATGCCATCGTCCCCCACGGGATAGGCATGTCGTTTCAATCGAGTCGTTTGTTTTGACGGTCGCCAACTATTGAACGGCGTCACTTCATGTCTATGGCCAGTATTAATGGGAGAAGGGGTCTGAGGCTGACCTGCTTCTGTTCAATCCAAGTGTCGTCAAAGCGGGGTTTCTCATTCTCAAACAATGGCCGTCATGTCTGCATTCTCGCAAACCATAGCGCTCTCGCGTCAAGTGCCGCTCTATCTATTTGGCTTCATCATTGCCATCATCATATACAGTCTATCTCGTATTCTCCGTCGTTCTGCACAACGCGTACCCGACGCTCCATGGCTGCGAATATCAAATCTACCTGGGAAGGCGGGCGAACTAGAAGATGCGCGGCTTTATGTCAAGAACGGACACGAGGTCATCTGCCTGGGTTACGAGAAGGTGAGATTCAGAACGACCTCGACAGCGAGCATGGGGCAAAGCTGATCTACGGCATCACTTTCAGTACACCAAGAAAGGCCAGAATTGGCTCATGAGAACCCCCGAGGGATTTCAGTTTGTGTACCATCCGAGATACATCGAAGAGGTTCGCTCAGCCAAAGACACGGAGCTGTGGAACTTGCCAGCCAACAACGAACTGGTGCAAACGCGTTATACCATGCACAAGAACTTGGAATACGATCAATATCACTTCAACGTCGTCAGCAAACAATTGACTCAGAGCCTGGGTACGTTGCTCCGACTCATCTCTTCAAGATGGACTAACCCCAAGTGACACAGGGCCTGGGCTTCCTGCCATTGTCGACGAATGTTTCGGGGCATTCCACGACTTGATAGGGGAACCAAAGGGTATTTCGTTCTCCATATTCTGTGCCACCGAATAGGATACAGGCTTAAACCTTTTGAACAGAATGGAAATCAATGGTCATGTTCCCCGTCTCTTTCAACATCGTGACTCGAACTGCAAACCGCCTTTTGTTCGGCGCAGATCTCGCCAGGAACAAGGAGTTTTTGAAACTCGCCATCGAATACAGCGACACGTTCTTTGCTGGTGCCAACATGATCCGCCATTATCCGCCATGGACGAAACGCCTGGCGTTATACCTCAAGACGGGCATGTACTCGCAACAGACGCAGGCGAGGAAACATCTCTATCCTCTGCTGCGGTCTCGTATCGCAGCAATGGAGAAGGCAAAAAGAGAAGGCACGTATGAAGAGTTTGAAAGGACAAAGCCAGCCGATACTGGTGAGTTTTCTATTATGCCACCTGAATGTCGAGGGCGGACCAGTGTGTTGACGATTCGAACAGTCCAGTGGGTTCTCGACATTACCCCTCCGGAAAGGCTGCACGACCTCAACGATATCATGATGAGACTCGTTCACATCCTCACCGCGGCGGTGCATACCAGCAGTGTCACCTACCTCAATGCACTCTACGACCTCGCCCAGCATCCCGAGATTCACGACGAACTCCGTGAAGAGATCAACAACGTGTTCGCCTCCGAGGATGGTGTGTGGAAGAAGCAGGGTCTGACCAAAGCAATGAAACTGGACAGCTTCATCAAGGAGAGTGCGAGGTTTCATCCCTTCCAAGCAGGTACGATTGCCGGTGTAACTCCAGGGGTGATGGTAGTATCGGAACTAATCTCCAATACAGGCACGATGGACCGAATCGCAATGAAGGACTATACACTCAGCGACGGCACCGTCGTCCCCAAAGGAACATACATGATTACTCCGTCGTCAGCGGCCAACTTCGACACGGAAATCTGGGGTCCTGACGCCCTGGAATTTGATCCGTGGAGATTCCAGAAGAGGCGGCTCGAGAAAGGCCAGGAGACGCTACACTCGATGGTCCAAACGACACCTCAATTTACCTATTTCGGGTATGACATATAATTGGACACCTTGTGTAAAGAACTTAGTTTTTAGCTGACATTTTGCGACACAGTCACGGGAGACACGCGTGCCCAGGTCGATTTTTCGCCGTCAACGAGATCAAGGTGCTCCTGATTTATACCCTGACGCATTACGACATCAAATTTCCGGACAAGAGTCCAAAGCCAGAGCTGATGTGGTTCTCTGGCAAGTCTATGCCCGATATGACCGCCGAGATTATGTGGAAGTGGAGAGAGAACGTCTCTGTTCCTTGGAATGATGTTTCTGGAGCATGAATTGTTGCCATCGCGAGATTTTGATGGAATCGAGAAACCTAAAAGACTTTTACTCGTCGAATAATTTTATATTTTCTTGATGGTAAACTTGTAGAGGCTTCCGAGAACGAAGATTTCCTTTTTTTTTTTTGTTCCTGATTCGAGCCTTATAGAGTCTCTGGCATAGCCTTCTGTAGATTTACTAGCACGAATACGAATTTAAATAGAGAGCTGGTAAAACTGAAATCAATAATTTCTTGGTCCACAAGCACGAGTTCCAGACCAGTCGTTACCTACGACATAGGGGAGGCTGTGGTGCATCTTGGAATTTATACACCTGTTCAAAAGCGACTGGAGGAGCTTCAAGTTCTCAATCACTCCGATCAACCCGACAAAATCTAGAACAATTGAAAATGCTCAATGTTGTGCTCGCAGGGGGACGGGGAGGCAAGTCGTCCCTGTCAATTTCTGAAGCTCTTGCTCACATATGTGTCCTACTGACAGATATATTCAGGTGTGGGAAAGGAAATATCAGACGCTCTGCTGGAGAGAGGAAACGCCAGGGTCACCGTCTTCACGAGGAAATCGGCTCACAAAGCAGCTGGCCAGGCATCCGAGAATGATGATGCTGACCAAGGCAATGGCCCCAACTATAGGGTCGTAGAGGTGGACTACCTCGACACGGACGAATTAGTGCTCAACCTGAAAGGCGTCGACGTTGTCTTGAGCTTTGTGCTGGACTATGAGAACCGGGTGCAAAAGGCTCTTATCAACGCATGCGTGTTGGCCAAGGTCAAGAGATTTGCGCCAAGTGAATGGGTCTGGTAAAGATCCCCTCCCTGAGAATGTATCGTGTACACAGAGCATTCTTTGGCTAAGAAGGCGTCTACAGGGGCAACTACTCTGGCATCGAGCTATTCAAGTACAAGGACGAGATACGACAATACCTGGAGCACCTCAACGCTCGGGAAACCGTGCTCGAGTACTGTCTCTTCCAGCCCGGCATGTTCATGAACTACCTGAGCTTCCCCAAGCCGTCGGCGGAGCACCTGCACCCCTCGCCGATTCCCATCGACATTCAAAACTGCAAGGCTCTGGCGCTGAAGGGCGAAGAGCCACATGTTGTCTTCACCACCGTCCAGGATCTGGCCAGAGTGGTCGCTCTCGCCGTCGAATATGAACAGCCCTGGCCGCCGGTTGGCCATATTCAGGGCTCGAGGACCACTATACAAGATCTCGTCAAATTGGGAGAGGAAATCCGAGGTACGTAAAGAGCCTATTTGCGCGCTCTGCTCTGCACAGAGACGTACTGACAACAACGTTAGGAAAACCGTTCCAAACATACTCAATTCCTCGGGAGGACGTCGAGCTCGGGAAGCTGGAAAGTCCGTGGATCCCTCGCATCATCCACTCCTCAATACCGCCGGAAAAGATCGAAGAAATGAGCAGACAATTGGCCACCAATTGGCTTTTAGCTGCCTCTCGAGGCTGTGTCGACATGTCGCCAACCTGGAACCGTCTCCTACCTGAGTTCAAACCAACTACGGTCGAGGAGTTTCTCAGAGAGCATTTTTCAGCTGATTGAAAAGAGGGAAACGCAAGTTAGACAAATGTTGCACCGTTCTACTTAGACAGGCACTTCGACTTTACATTGCTATGTACATTGTTTTCAGCTGTGTCCAGTCGTCCACGGCGGTTTTTCCAAGCTCCCTCCCTTCTCCGCTTTGCTTCACTCCGCCGAAAGGCATGTCGTGGGTCATCATAGGGCTGGTACAGTTGATCCCGACGGTTCCAGACTCAAATGCCCTCCCAACCCTCAACGCGCGCGATATGTCCTTTGTATAGACACTCGCATAAAGGCCGAACTCGCTATCGTTAGCTCGCCTGATGACGTCTTCTTCTGTTTCAAACCCTTTGACGCAGGCGACCGGCCCAAATATCTCTTCTCTCATCACCCGGCTTTGTTCGTCGGGCTCGTAGATGATGGTCGGCTCGACGAAAAACCCTCGTTGACCTTCCCTTTTGCCTCCGGCTATAATCCCATACCCTGACCGCTCAGCTTCTTTGATGTAGGACAAAATCGACTCGAACTGAGACTGAGTAGCTTGTGGACCCCTCCGTGTTCCCGGGACTCTAGGATCGTTGCCCGAGGATGGATTCGCTCCGAGGTCTTTTAATGATTGAACGAATTTCTGGCAGAAAGCTTCCATTGCTGTCTTTGCAACGTAGACACGAGTGCTGGCTATACAGGCCTGTCCCGAGTTGAGGAGAATCGACTTGGCGGCCGCTTCGGCGGCTTTGTCCAAATCAGCGTCCTCAAAAATGACCAGGGGGCTCTTCCCTCCCAGTTCTAGGGTGACCATTTTGAGATTGGATTTGGCGGCCGCTTCCTTGATCGCCTTGCCCGTTCGGACGGAGCCCGTAAAGGAGATTTTGCGGATCTTCATGTGCGACGCCAATGCGGCTCCACAAGGTGTGCCAAAGCCACTCAGAACGTTGAGAACTCCGGGAGGGAACCCTGCAGCCCGTGCAAGACTGGCGACGTAGAGGCTCGTGAGTGGCGCCTTTTCGGATGACTTGACCACCAAGGTATTGCCGGCAATTAGTGCAGGTGCCATTTTGAACATCAGCATCGTCACTGGAGCGTTCCACGGGGTGATCGCGGCGCAAACGCCATACGGTTCTCTGAGAGTTAGGTTCAGAAATCCAGGGGTCTGGGTCGACGACGTCCCCTGAACATCCGTGGCTTTGCCAGCCATGTATCTCAAGAACCTCGCTGAGGCAAGACCCTCGGCTTTATTCCCATGTCAGCACTAGACAGGCGAGCGGCAACGCAGCAGAAGAGGGCTTACTTACTATAAGTCCCCACTGGTCGGCCCATGCTCGATGCTTCGATGAGAGCGAGTTTGGAATTGCTCTGTTCCACCAGGTCCGCGAGCTTGTAGAAGTACGCCGCGCGTTGAAAGCCGCCCAGTGCCGACCATGCTGGGAATGCCGCCTCAGCTGCACTCACGGCGAGGTCCACGTCGGCCGCCGACGCCTCGGAGACATGTTGAAAGATCTCCTCGGTCGCTGGGTTGATGACGGGGAAGGTTTTGCCATCCTTTGCCTCGACAAACTCGTTATTGATGAAGAGGCGGGTTTCGACGTCCCCCACGTCGGGAACTCCTGCATCAGATACCATGATGTGCGTGGCGATTCTGGTTTAGTTGTGACGAGAGCCAGAATATGATGCTGAGCAGTGACTGTGCGGGCTGTGAGCAAGTCATTCTTTCTTGAACCTAGCATCATCTGAATTTTTCAGTTTCTCTTTAGGCCACATAAAGCCTGTACTGTAACATCTAGATTGGCAGGTGCAAAAAGGTGTCGTTCTTCGCGACATCGTTGACCCCACAGTCTCCAGCTTTGGCCAGCTCGTGTACCTCCCAAGTGCCTAGCTTTATGTGGAAGGTGGCCCCTCTCTTGGCCACTATACCCAGAAGATTAGACGAGGGAGCTACACGATCACGTGGGTGGTGGATTCTTCTGAGCCACGTGTGAGCCTAATCTATTAGTAGCTTAGCCGACGTCGTGGGTCCCAGCCTACTTCTGGCTAGGCTACTTCAATGGAGGAGTGGAATCACGACTCGACTCCCCTCTCGAAGAACCCATCGAGTCGGAGTCGCATTTGGAGTGAGGCTCGTGCTGGTCCTGGCCTATAGTTGCCGACGCTCCTCCTCGTAGCCATTCGGGGACCTTTAATGATGCTCAAGAACAAACGTGTCCAAGATACGAGTCGTTGGTCACGATATCCCCCGCAAAACCCACCCCCAGAATAACTCTTAAAAAAGACGTAATTTACACCGTCAAACTCATGAGTTCAAGGCAAGCAAAGTACTAGAATCATTACCCTCTCCCAAGTATTGCAGCAAAGATGTCTCGAGACAATCCAGAAGCGGCCAAGAGGATGTTCGACCAGCCTCAGCCACATAGCTTGCTGGGATACCACCGACAGTTGGCACCTGCTGCCAGTCTCAAAGTCAGCCCTTTATGTCTAGGTGCGAGCTCAATCCAACAAGTAGAGAAGACGGGTGTTCTGAGATCCCTCCACAGGCGCAATGAACCTTGGCGAGGCCTGGAAAGTATATGGAAAACTGCAACCTCGGTCGAGATAGAGCGAAGCTGATAAATTCCCCAAAGTACTTTATGGGTGCGGTCGACAAGACAGTAGCATTTGAAATCCTCGACTGTTTTTACGAGCGGTATGTTTTCTACCAAAATGGCCGTGGCCCTTTCATGACGCTCACCTACTGCGTGACGCAGTGGGGGAAATTTTATCGACACGGCCAGCGACTACCAGGACGGTGAGTCGGAGGCCTTCATTGGAGAATGGATGGCTGCCCGGGGCAATCGAGACGAGATGGTCATCTCCACCAAGTACGGCACCGGTTGGAAGAAATACCTCAAGGGGGACGTGATCCAGACCAATTTCGGGGGACTCAACGCCAAGAATCTCCGCCATTCGTTGGATGCGTCACTGCGAAAACTCCAGACCGACTTTGTCGACATCCTCTACGTGCATTGGTGGGACTATGCGGCCAGCATCCCCGAGATTATGCACGCTCTCAACGACGTCGTGGCCCAGGGCAAAGTCCTGTACTTGGGAATATCTGCCACGCCGGCCTGGTCAGTATATTATCTTTGGTGACGCGGTCGGGTGAAATACTCTGCCAGCCGCGCAGCCCGCTGACGGAAGATCTAGGATCGTGGCAAGGGCAAACGAGTACGTAAGGTGCCATAACCTGAGGCCCTTTGTCATCTACCAAGGACGGTGGTCGGCAGCTTGCCGAGACCTCGAGCGAGAGATAATCCCGATGTGCAGAGCCGAAGGCATGGCGATCGGCCCGTGGGGTGTCATGGAGGGAGGAAAATTCAAGACCAAGGAGGAGAGAGAGGCGGGATCTGTCCGGGGCCGGCTCTATCCTGGATCAGAGGCCGAACTCCGAGTGTCGGAGGCTCTTGAGGCGATCGCACAGCGCAAACAAGCGCGCCTCACCGACATTGCTCTGGCGTATGTCATGCACAAGACCCCCTACGTCTTCCCCGTGGTGGGTGCGCGGACGCCCGAACAACTCAAGCAAAACATCGAGGCCTTGTCCGTGAGCCTCAGCCGGCACGACATGGAAAAGATCGAGAGTGTCGCCGCCTTTGACCGAGGGTTTCCCTATAATGTCCTCATGCTTGACAACCAAGCACAGCCAGAGGATGTTTCAGGTCATCTGAGCTACAACGATGTCCCTCAAAATCGTGCTTATGGCCATGTCAGGACGGTGCGGTATCCCCAGGCACTCTCTGGAGGTCCATTGGAGAATTAGTTTCAGCGCGAGAGGGCTCCCGTCGGGGACGCTGTCATACCGATTTTCGGGGCTTGCGAGCATATATACCCGCGCCCACGACTAGACTTCAAGGCTCTGTTCGACGTGTCTTGGCGAGAATCGAGTTTGACGAGTCGTCATGTAATTGCGTAGATGGGCAATGGGCAATGAGCAATAATGTATATGTAATCGGTACGAGGAAAGGTATACCGCGTATCACATAAAAGGCATGAAAAAAAAGGCTCTTCAGCCAGCTCTCTCTACCAACTCAAGCCCTTGAACCAACAAACTCACCAGAACCCGCGAGGCCAAAATGCCAACAAAGCCGACCCTCAACGTCAACCATCTCGCCTTGTCTGTACCGGACATTGGCGCGGCAGTCGATTGGTACACGAGCGTGTTTGGATTCACCATGATTGGCAGCGTGATGGAAGTGAACAAGAACAGTCCGACAGGCCCGATCATCTCGTCTAGTAAGTAACTTCAGGTTCACCCAACCCCCCCCCCTCCCGGGGGCCCTTTTTTTTTCTTTCGAGTTAGGTAGAGGACTCTGCTGTACTTCGAATCGTATTTTGACTCACTACGAAATTTAAATGAAAAAAAAAAAAGTCTACGGGGAAGAATTCGAACAAGTCAAACTCGCGATCCTAACATCCGCCAACGGCGTGGGGTTGGAGATGTTCGAATTCGTCCGGCCCAAGTACAACGGACCCGAGCGGCGCGTCGACTGGTGTCCCGACACATACACGAAAGGGGGCGTCTTTCATTTCTGCTTCACCGTGGCGAATGTGGAGGAAACGGCACGGAGGGCGATCGAGAGCGGCGGGAAGAATGTCGGCGTCCTCGTCGAGCCGGCCGAGGGGGAACAGGCATTCTTTGTCCAGGATCCCTGGGGAAATGTCATCGAGCTCCTGAGTTGTAGCTTCGATGTACTTTTTCTGAAGAGACTCGGTGGATAGCTTGGAAGTGTATGGGGCTTCAAAGTAGAACTTGGATCTGGGGTTCATGAGCCTCGGGATTTCGTTCATTGAAGAGATCCTCCAGTTACTCAGACTTTGGACTCTACGTCGTGTGTCGAGCTGAATTACTCCAATACAGTGAGTGAAGAGGTGGAGTCCGCTCGAGCATCTCTGGGTAATTTACAGTTCGAACTCGATACCATACAAGCGGGAAGAGATTCTCTCCTTTTTGATCTGAAAGATCTCAGTGCGTATGTAACATTGCGGGTTACTAGGACAAAAGAGTAATGCCGAATTATTGGGGTCGGAAGAAAGCCAATCCTGGGGCTTCTCCTTTCTTTTTTACAAAATCCAACCCTCTCAAACTTCATTTGATTTCTCCAAAGGGAAGGAAATCTAAGCTTTCGGAGTCGTAGACTCGACCATTTCGACCTCGTGGTCACTCGGGCCATGCTCAGCATCTTTCGTCACCGTTGCGTCCTCGGCCTTGACGTCGGTGACGAGTCGTTGGGCAACTTTCATTGTCAAGTGAGAGGACAGCTGTCAATCATTGTCAGGACATGTGTATACACTCTGAGGTCAATAGATCATCGGGGATAAAACTCACATCCTTGGTTGCCAGAGCGGCGAGGAGTGCCACGATACCAAAAGGTATACTGGTATAGAAAACATAGCGGAAGGCATGCTGGTAGGCATCCTGGAAGGCTGAATACGCCAATTGGAATATCTCCGTCGTGATCCCAGGGATTGAAGCGAGGGTTTGCCCGGGCATGGCTCCAGTGAGGAGGCCCAGTAGCAGCGGAACGGAGTCGAGGGGAAGCCCGGCCTGTGTAGCTGCTGCTGTCACCATTTGGGGGATATAACCCGATGCTTTACTTGTAAGCACAGTGGTGTAAATGGCAGTGCCTGCCGAGCCTCCAATGTATCTGGACAAGCCCATCGATGCTGTTGCGAATCCGATCCACTCATCCGGTGTACATAGCGAGATGAAAACGATCGGCAACGTGGTAGTTATCCCAATGCCTTTTGTTCGTGTTAGTATTGTGTGACAACATCCCGCGTTCCAAGATCGTGTTCTTACCAACTCCAGCGAAAAACGAAAATGTCAGTGCAGCAGCCTTGTTATGCGGTCCGGCAATGCTCATCAAGGGAATGAAAATGACTTCGAAGACAACCCCAATGGAGAGGAGGGCGGTCGTGCCGAGCTTTGGTCCGATCCAGGGAAGGAGTACAGCCGATCCCGCCCCTGCAGCGAGTGTGGAAGCTCCCATGATGGTCTGGTATACTCCAGCCTTGAGCAAGTCGTCTCCAGTGTACATGATGGTCAGGAAGGTCGGCCAATTGGCTTGGAGAGCGTAAAACATCATGCCGCCGACAAACGACACCACCAAGATCATGGTGAAGGTGCGAACGCGTTTGAACAGGAAGGGATGCAGTAAGGGGGCCTTGGGAATGTAGGCTTCGTAGAAACCCAGAGCGACCAGAGTCACGACGCCGATGAGAAACGGTGCCAGGAAATGTGCACTTGTGGCTCCGTACTGCGGGACCCAGATGACTCCCAACAGGACAAGCGTCGGACCGACCTGTAATTCTCGTCAGACTCGGTATTACTACCGCACAAACGTGTTGGTTCAAGACTTACAATGATTCCACCGAGTCCAACATAGTCAAAGTCCCGGATCATGGACCCTTTGCTGGCAGAGGCAGCCAACGGCTTCGCGGGAAAGTATGTGACGGCGCAAGCGACCGTTCCAGCAATGTTGGCCGCCAGAGCCATCCAGAAGACCGATTTCCAACCCGGTCCCGTGTTCAAGATCATCGAACGGGCGATCAGTGAGCCACAGAGATCGAACGGAAGAGCGGTCAAGTTCATGATGCCAACCACCGGGCCACGGTATTTGGTTGGGACCAGCTCGGAAACACTGGCGAAGCCATTCACTGCTCCAGCTTGATTCAAGCCAAACAACGTCATGGTCGCAATCACTAGGGATGGGTTTTAAGATTTTGGTCTTTCCGTTCTCGAAACGCGATGAGATGACTTACTTTGCCCGATGGAATGCGAGGTCAGTCCCAGGATGGACGCGACCACCCCGAGAACCCCGGTTCCGATCGTAAACCAACGGCGCCCGAATATGTCTGACAGCGACCCGGCACAAATCAGTCCCACGCCGGTTGCAACGGTCCACGACGACGCGATCCAGGTGAAGGACGGGTCCGGGCCGAGGTCTTCATTGATATTACCCAGCACGGGGACAAGGCACAAGAATGTCCCGAGAGAGGTCGAGAAGATGAAGCTGATGGATGAAATGGACAGCAAGACCCGGATCGACAGCCGCGAGACCTCTTGGTTGGGGTCTGTAATCTCATGCTCCCGGAGCTGTTCGTCACTCGGGGCAGAACGCAACAAGCCCTCAACCTTGTGGTGATGGGTTTGGTCAGCGTCAGCCATGACCAGAAGCTGAAAGGATATAGTTCAGGACTTAGTGGAGGGTTTCAGCTTCACAAATCTGAAAGGGAGTTTTAGCAGTTGGTTTTCCCCTCGACTTTCAATGGTCACGAGCTTGGGGTTGTCGATTTATATTTGACCTTCCCGGAATTGTGATATACTGTCCGGAATTGCAAACCGATCGAGCTTTACCAGGTTGTCCCGTGGGGAACTGTCGACTGACCCATGGGGTGTTAGAAACAAAAGCGGAGTTGGATTCGCCAATGGGAGAGCACGATGAGGGATGTCCCTGGCACGTTGTCGCTTCGGTTCGGATGCACATTATCTCGTACACGTGGGCAATCCATACCGTAAGCCATGTGGCCATGTATTATTCAGAAAAGGGGGACTCGTTCCTTTCTGTTCCCAATGTAGTTCCGGACTACCGATTACAGAGTGAGCTCTTGATCCTGTAGCTAGAGGCTAGACCATTGATTCATTCACTGCCTGCCTTAGTGGCTGGGAGGATGACTACAAGTGTATATGGCTGAAACCACCGTCAACCATGATGGTCTGGCCCGTGATGTGGCTACTCTCTGGGCTGAGCAACAAGCTGATGACCGAGGCCTGCTCTTCAGGACACGCCATGACCTTGAGCGCGATGGGCTCGGTGTATCTGTTTTCATCGTGCTTATAGTCGGGGTCGCTCTTGACGCTCTCGTGCATGTTGCTCAGCGCCAACGGCGTGACTGTTGCTCCCGGGCAGACAGCATTGCACCGAATGCCTTGTGGGCCGTAGAAGAAGGCCCCGTTCCTCGTGATCTCCAGGACCGCTGCCTTTGTCGGCGCATACGCAGCAAAGCCCATGCCCGTCACGGCCGTGGTGGAACCGATGTTGACAATCGCCCCTCGCTGAGGCTTGATGGGTAGAGAGGGTGCTGGGAATATCTCAACCGCTCTCGGGGACTGTTTCAACATTTGAGCCGCCTCGAACTTCTGACATAGCCATACTCCACGTTGGTTGACTGCAAAATGGCTGTTTGGGGGCGCGTTAACAGGGCTCAAGACCTCAGGGCTGCGGGCTCAGGCATGATTGTGATCGAGCCGCCACTTGAAGGAGGCCATGTATGCAAACATACCTGTCCACATCCTGGGTCGAGACACCGACCTCATCGTCCCTGTCCCCCCGACAAAAGCCGGCAATGTTGGCAGCGTAATCGAGCCGACCCCATCTGTCGGCGACGGCCTTGACCATTGCCACCACATCCTCTTCCTTGGACACGTCCACATGGAGAAACAGGGCGTCGACCTTGAACGTGGCTTTGATCTCTTCGGTCAACTTCTCCCCCAGGTCGTCCTGGATATCGGCAATCAGGACATTGATGCCCCGACTGGCGAGTTTCTTGGAAGTGGCTGCGCCTATGCCCGACGCGCCCCCAGTCACAACTGCGGTCCACGGATCGGAAGTGGCCATTTCTTTTTCGAATCTTCTCGTTCTTGTTGGTTAACCCCCCTCCACGACCTGGTTGGGCCAATCTTATAACCAGCACCTGCTACACCCGGTACTACGGAATTGCAGCCCAAGGGGTTCCGGACTCGCCAAACCCCCACAATTCTCCGCCCTTTTCAAACAACAACGCAAGGAATTCCCCGGAATGGAAATTGGCATTAAAAAGATAATGGTCTGTAGAAAGAGGAAGAAAGGGAAAAAAAAACAAACTCTTCTGTTTCTTCTCCCCTTGTCGAACATGGGGAAACGGACTTGATCTGGGAAAAGAAACCAAAATAGACACCACTTCTCTATCTTTACGACAGACACCTCATCTCCCCTCCCCTCCCGTTTCCGTTGCAGCTCCTAACCATGGACGGGGAAACCATGTCGAAAGAAGCCGTGGTCGAGATGGAGGACCACGTGCGCGTACCTCCCATATCGGCGCAGCTCAGCGAACTTCCACCGGGATACTTTCGAAGCTCTCTCTTCCTAGGGTCCATGGCTGCGGTGGGCATAGGCCTTCTTGCCGCAATATCCAGCTTTGCGTTGGCAGCCCCCATTCTCGGCGTCATCAACGAGGACATCGGGCCCAGCTCCAACATCTCGTGGGTGGCGATTGTGTACACGCTGATGATCGCCGTCGGTCTCACTATCGTGGGCCGCTTCACCGACATCTTTGGACGTCGTCACACCTTCATCGGAGGAGCAGTGCTCGGGGTGGTGGGAAGCATCGTCTGTGCCACTGCCCCGACAGTCGGGGCCCTCATCGCCGGCATGACGCTCGTCGGGCTGGCGGCCTCGACCCAAGTCTCGTACTTCTACGTCACGGCCGAACTGATTCCTCAGAAATATCGCTTCCTGGGCAACGCCATCATGTATGTCTTCATGATCCCCGGCGGGGCATTTGCGCCGGCCATTGCCAATTCGTGCATTCTTCACACTCCCGGCGGCTGGCATTCGACCTTTTACATTGTCATTGCAATCCAGGCCGCAGCCTTGTTCTGCTGGGTGGCCTTCTATCGTCCCCCAACGTTTGAAATGAAGCACCGCGACAAGACACGGCGAGAATACCTCGTGAAATTCGACTACATCGGCACGGCACTGTTTGCCGGAGGCCTTTTGTGTTTCTTGTTGGGCCTTTCGTGGGGAGGAGCGGTTCACCCTTGGAAGTCAGCACATGTCCTCGCAACCATCATTGTGGGTGGTGTTTCCTTGATCGTGTTTGCGCTGTGGGAGCTGTTTGCGCGACTCGAGGAGCCGCTGGTTCCCATAACCCTTCTGGCCTCGGGACCGTGGACAGCAGCCGTGGTGACATCTGGTATCGGCGCCAGCCTGTACTACGCCCTCACAATCGTCTGGCCGTCGATGGTGGCCATCGTGTATCCCTCTGGAGATCTGATCACCGACGGACTGAGAGCCTCCATCGTCGGAGCATGCTGGGTCAGTGGCGAGATTGTCTCTGGCATCGTTGCAAAACCAGTGGGGAGAATCAAGTTGCAGTGTATCGTCACACTGACTTTGGCCGGTGTGCTCCTCGGCTGTGAGTATATATCCTTCCGTTGGCTGGCCATTTGACGACGAGTTCGTTTGCTAACTTTTTGTCCTTTTTGTAGGTATGGCCACCAGCGATCCCGATTCCAGCACTAGAGCAACGGTGCTCCTGAGCTTCAGTTGCTTCTTGGCCGGGTACGTCGAGGGCCTCTCTCTCACCATCACCACCCTGGCCTTGGAGGATCAGCAGCAGATGGGCGCCGGGTGTGGATTTGGAGGTTCGATCCGCTTTACCATTACAACAGTCGCCACCACCATCTACACCGTCGTCCTCTCGGCCCGTCTGAGCGCGACCATTCCGGACCAAGTGCCCCCAGCGCTTGTCTCGGCCGGACTACCAGCCAGCAGTGTCGCAACCTTCATCGGAAGTTTGGCGTCGGGACAGTCTCTTGCCGACATCCCCGGCGTGACGGCCTCGATCATCGCCGCTGGAATCCGGGCATATCGATCGGCCAATGCGGATGCCTACCGGACTGTATTCCTCTCCACGATCGCTTTCACAGGCATCGGCATCATCACCACCCTCTTCCTGCCCAACACCGATGCATTGATGACGGATGAGGTCTCTACCACGCTCCATCATAAGAAGGATGAGAAACTGGCACGTGCTGTAGCCCACGTATAACTCCGACCACGGTACTTTCGTCCCCAGCTTCGTCGAGCTTCTGTAAGAAGTGACAATCTATCTGGATGGGCTGGCCGCAGAAGCAGAGCAGGAGCAACAGGCTGTGGCGGTGCATCCTCTGGTATCGATGTAGATGTATGCTGGAAGAATAATTTCGGCTCATTGCCAGTTGATAGTCCAAGATTGACCATACCTTGAAATCTGGCTTCTGAAGGTAAATCTACAGCGTCAGTTCAAATATGCATTGAGGCAGAGGCCATCTTTCATTCACCGAGACCACGCGATCGAGGGTGAGGACCTGACTGTTACACTGGTTGCACTGGAGGCGAACGATCTCGTAGAACTAGATTGTTCTGGAGGCATTTGGTCGGCATAACATGCCGCCGTCACCAACTTGAAGTGGGAATGGAAGTAGTGAAACCAGTTCGCTCACTTGCTTGAAGTTATGGGTCTTCCCCTGGTTGTTCTCTCCTCTATATTCGCTTACTTGCTTGCGTTTTCCTATCTTTGCTGCGGCCAAGTAGAATTTCCTCTCTGGTATCCAAATCACGGAACTTGCTCTGGTTTGTCTAGACAGATATCGTAGTGTTTCGTCTCGAGTGCAGGAATAGGCAAGCTAGAGTCCTCCCCTTCGGGGTTGAGTTGGTAGCAGCTCAGGAGCCTTATTGAGGGCCTTTGTGTATTGCGTCCTTCTCCAAGTCTTCTGCACCCTCTTCAGATCGAAGGTGTTGGGCTGTTTTGTGGGATAGTCGGTAAGTCAGCTGGTTGAACCCACGTTAGCTTAAACCATCAAAGCCATAAACACTTCTGAGCCACTTACATCTTTGGTCATGATAGCGCAACCAAGAGCAATCACGCCGAACGGAATACTTGTAAGCCAGACATAGTGGAATGCCTGCCTCCATGCTTTGTGCAAGGCGCTTGTCGACACTTGGATAATGCTGGGACTAATGCCCGGTACATCAGTAATGCTTTCGCCGGTGACGACGCCGGTCAAGATCCCTAGTAGTTGTCGTAAAGAGCCTGCTGGAAGCCCTGCTTCGAGCGCAGCTGAGCCCACGTACTCGGGAATGAGATCTGCGCTCCTGCTGTTGAGGATGGTTGTATAGACCGCGGATCCAGCAGATCCCCCAATAGACCGCATCATTCCCAGGAGCCCAGTGGCAACCCCGATCCACTCGTCCGGGGTTGCCAGCTGGATTAGAAGAATGGTAAGCAGCTCGACCCAGCCGATACCTGGAGACGGTCAGTGTGCATAATTGAATGTTAGGCTCTCTGAAGTAGTGACGGACCTGCCCCAGCGAAGAAGGAAAAGGCCAATGCCATGCCCCTCGAGTTTGCAGTTGGGAGACACATCAGTGGAATAAAGAGTACCTGGAGCGTGACTCCAATCGCGAGGTGGAGCCTGGTCCCAATGACGGGAGCGATAATAGGGAGTAGCAACGCAGACGACACCCCTCCTACATTTGTTCCGGCGCCAAATGGCATATAATCCACCCCAATTGCTCTTGTGTTGTCCCCATGGAACATGACACGAAGATATGTCGAAAAGAAGGCGACAATAGAGTAGAAGAGCATTCCACCCACTGCCGCGACGACCAGAATGAGGGTAAACTCGCGAACGCGTCGAAAAAGGAAACGCTTCATTATAGGGTTCGAAGCATAGAAGGCCTGGTGGCATCCCAAACAAACCATGAGAGCGATACCCGCAAGGAAAGGCCCCAGAAAGTATCCGCTCTTCGCCCCGTAGGTCGGAACGTACTTGATGCCAACGAAAAACAAGGTTGGTCCAGCCTAAGCAGATATGAGCAAGAGTGGGTGACCTGTCGACACCAGGAAGATGAGACTTACGGTAGCCAAAGCGAGGCCGACATAGTCAAACTCTTTCAGTAGTTGACGTCGAGTCTTCATTCCCGCAGCAAGTGGCTTCGCCGGGAAGTAGTTTATAGCCACAAGCAGAGTTGCGAGACCATTTGCAGCCACAATAATCCAGAACAAGGTTCTCCATCCTGGAGCGGTGTGGACAGCAACCTCATGTCCGATCAGAGATCCGCATGTTGCCCAGACCAATATGCCTGCATTGACGGCGCCGAGAATAATGCCACGCAGACGAGTGGGGACGATCTCAGCAATGGCTGCAAGAGTATTCATTGCTCCTGCGTGATTCAAGCCAAGAATGGTCAGGGAAGCGAGTGCTATCAAGAATAAGCCACCATGTTTGAGACCAGAAACACGTCACAAGCACTTGACTCTTACCAGTGGGAATGTTCTGAGCCAATGCCCCACAGATACCACCTGCAACCCCCAAAACCCCTGTTCCAATGACGAACCACCGTCGTCCGAGAACATCGGAGAGCGTACCGGCAACGATCAAGCCGACGCCAGTTGCCACGGTCCAGCACGTAGGGAGCCAGCTGTACGCAGGGTCGGGGCCTATGTCGGCGTTGATAATTCCAATGATTGGAGAGAGACAAAGATAGATGCTGATGCCCATGTTGTAGATGAAGCCCAGCGAGATGATGACGAGCCATTTCTTCCACTTAATTGCCCGCAGTTCTCTCCAGAGGCTGACATTGCTGTCGTCGGGAGAATTGGGTGGAACGTCGACATGGTCTGCGGCGGCTTGTATCTTTACATTCTCTCCCTCGATAGATGCAGGAGATGCTTGCATGCTTGTGATTGTTGAACAGCAGAGGCAGACTGCCTGGTTTTGGTCGTTCAGTGATTCGCGGAGATGGCACGGTTCGTGCTCAAGCGAAGTTGGAACAGTTAGTAAATCTCCTGATCTTCAGCTCGGTTGCGACAGCGACTAATATGGGTTTTCACAATGGCTGGTATATTGAATACAAGGCTTGGTGGGTTCGTATCAACGCGAGTCGTGATAGTCATACTACGACACCCTCTTTGTAGGGGCAGCTCGACCAGAGGGCGGAATGGAGATAATAGGTGTCGCCATTCGAGACGCCATCTGCCACCGGACAAAACCAAGATTCGTATAGAACATGCTCTCCACACGGGGCCCCAGGAAATGAAGTGGTGGAATGGAAGCCTATTTCGTTTTGTGTTGCCGCACGAGTCGTTACACCCGACACTCAAATGTTGCGGACATCCGCTGGTCGAACACGAGTATCAGGGAGGTGGCTCGGCGCCCATTGTTTACCCAGACTTGCGTCTTGACCTGGTATAGGCAAGGATGGTGTGGAAGCCGTCCTCACTTCCAAGGTCTGATAGTTTGGCTCCACCTAAGGCACTTTGGCCGGAGGCTATGCCCATCGAATTCATGCAGACTGTGCATGACTCCTCGCTTGTTTCGCTAAGGATTGAGCGTGGGAGATGGCGCGGACATTATATTACTGACATCGGAGCGACGCGGAAGGTAGAACAAACAAACTGCATCAATGGCGTCTGTATCGTATCAGAGAGGGAAGGGAGAGGTTCCATTAGGTGCAGTACTTGTGGAAGAAGGTGGGCAGCCTATCCCAATAGGGAAGGTAGCGCCTAATTAGTCATGTGACTACAGCATATATCATCTAGCGAAGCTTTAGCTAAGCTGGTATTACCGGTAAAACTAACTAAATGGTGAACTGGGGTGAGGCTCTTAGCCAGAGGCATCAACTCGTACGGCGATAGGTATAGTATTAGGGGTAACGACTATCGCACAGTAACAATAAATCAGCATCGAAGATCCTGATCAGATAGATTCCATTGCTTGATTGATTGCTCTCCTCTTGAGTACTTGAGAACTTATTAAGAACTGATCCTCCAAGAGGATTCTCTGAGAAAAGAACTCTCGGACCCAGTATCCGAGACCTAGCCAATCAGGAGGCAGGAATGTCTCCCCGTACATTGTACAGGCAAATTCCACTAATCACGTGCCAGCCTGTCGATTCCCCCATTACAGTAGATCACCTCCTCACTTTCCACGTCAGGTCTAGATAAAGGGATCTCAAGCTGTCCCGGCCATCTCTATACTCCTCTGACAGGATTTTACTACCGCTCGTCGCTTGAGTCTTTAGTGATCGCCAGAAGCCCCCAAGTTGTCGGCCAACTAGGAGATACCTACGGGCCTAATAATTGAAATAAAACTCGAAAGCTTAGATACACATCCTTATCTCTAATGACTAGACTGTGGCACTGGACGGATTCTTATAAGGTTTTTAGGTGGCCTACCCGGATTTATTATCTGGTAGGCCGCAACGAGCAATGCTTCGGTCCAACAACCCGTCGCCGAAAACTTTGCCGGTATCCGAGCTTCAGGTAGCAGGGGGGCTCTCCACAGATGGTACCCGGGCCTCACATCCAGGAGATCAAGTGCTTGTTGCTTGAGAAATCCTTGGTAGAGCCATGGGGCCGGGAGCTTCGTTTCAGATTTTCCGTGCGCAATGGAAGCCCTTTCAGGCGCCAGCCAAAGAGTCCCACACTTGTGCTCAATGGACTGTGTTCCGTGGCCGCTCTGCCGTCCCCGTCTGGGGAAGCTGCCTCTCCACGGGGTGCTCTGTCCTCCAACAGGGAGCATACAATAGCCGAGTCAGAACCCGGCGGTATTCGAGTACAAGTACCCTGCCTGCGTTCTTCAGTGTTGTTTGGCCAGACAGAGCCACTAAATTACTATCACATCTCTTCATCTGCCCGGGTCATCAATTTAGGCACGAGCTGAATGCACTCGTCTCCACATTCTCGAGAAATGGACGACAAGGCCAGCGACATTAAGACGGAGGAGGTATCATCTCCTGACGGGGAGGGCAACGCTCATCATGCACCTTCTGAGTACATCAACGGGAAGCCATACTGGCGTACCAAGCGATTCCAGGGTTCCTTTTGGGCCATCGGGTTTGGCTGTCTTGCCTGCTACGCAGGCTTTGCCATGCCCGCGAACACATTGGCTCTCATTAACGATGACATTGGTAAGTCTTCTTGCTTTTCGCGCGAAAGTCGTTATCTAACCGAAGCCAGGTCCAAGCGCCTCTATTAGCTGGGTCTCACTCACATGGACACTGACCGTTGCCGTGGGTTATACACTCGTCGGACGGCTGAGCGATATTTTCGGCCGGAGATACTTCTTCATCGGCGGCGCCACCCTTGCACTGATTGGGAGCATTGTCGCTGCAACAGCGCGTACTGTCAATGTGTTAATCGGCGCAACAGTACTTATCGGACTCGCCGCTGCTTCTCAGATCTCCTTCAACTATGTGATTGGCGAGCTTGTACCAGTCAAGCATCGCTTCATATTTATGGCTTTGATTAACGCGGTCAATATTCCCATCGGCGCTTTTGGCCCTGTCATTGCCCGGTCTTTCATCCTGCATACTTCGGCAGGGTGGCGCTGGAACTACTACCTAACTATTATCTTAAGTAAGTATAAAGACTGTTATTGTTCGAGCCAGATTTTAAGATGAGAATAGATGCTTTATCCCTATTTCTATGGGTATTATTTTACTATCCACCGGATTTCTCTCACCTTCATCGAGTTCGTTCTCGCTGGCAGGAGGTTAAAGGAATCGATTACATTGGCATTATACTCTTCACAGGAGGAAACCTACTCTTCTTGATGGGTCTATCCTGGGGAGGCGGACAATATCCCTGGAAGTCAGGACATGTCATTGGATGCATCGTTACTGGTGTCGTCAGTCTAGTGGCCTTCGTCCTATACGGTATTTTCAATCCGGTAAATTCATCTCTGGAGAACACGTCCTGACCTCAAACAGAAATCTACTCTGGTGTTCACCGCCCTTTGGTGCCAATGGACATCTTTAAGAACTTCCAATACGACGCTATCGTGGTGTTAACTACGGTGGGCGGCATGATCTATTACTCCATGACCGGTACGTACAGATAAAAAGATGGTTACGCCAATCTTGTACTAACTTTGATTTAGTTATTTATCCTACAACACTCACTGTTCTGTACTCCACCGACACGATGAAAGTTGGCTGGTTGTCCTGCGCCGTAGGTGGCGGTGTACAAGCGGGACAAGTGATCGGTGGCCTCATTGCCATGCGTATTGGCCACATTAACTGGCAAATGGTATTCGCATCAATAGTTATGGCGGTCTTCATCGGTGGTTTAGCTGCCCAGACAAAGGATACTCTGGCGTGAGTAGTGAAGCTATTGATTTCTGAAGCCCCTACTAACAATAACAACTAGCTTATCTACTGCCTTTGCAACCCTGGGCTCCTTCGGTGTGGGATATATTGAAAACCTTGCAGCCACAGCAGCTACTTTTGTGATCAAGGACCAAAAGCAAATGGGAACGAGTAACGGCATCTTTGGAAGTATTCGAAGTGCCGGGGGAGTTCTTGCCACGACCATCTACCTTGTTATCCTCACCAACCGTATGAACACCAACACCAAGAATATGATTATTCCTACCGTTGTCGAAGCTGGCCTTCCGGATTCATCCATTGCGGCATTCTTGACGGCCTTGAACAGTGGTGTTGCCTCTGCACTACAAGCCGTTCCTGGCGTTACTGAAAAAATCATTCTGGCGGGTGAGACAGCATATTTGGCCGCCTATACCGATGCTTTCCAGAAGGTTTTTCTGGCCAGCATTGCATTCGGCGGCCTCTCAATCATTGCTGCACTCGCGGTTAGGCCATTCACCAAGGAAGAACTCGCCGGGAGCCTTGTCTTCCATCTGGGTGCGTCCAAGCCGCAGCACGCAAGAGATGGAGCTGTGGAAGATCAGAACGAGGTGGACGCCCCTCTCGATTAGGAGCAGGGCTCTCAGATTGCCAGGTAGTCGGCATTACGTGGCAAGCTGCAACTCGTAAGGGTAGTCCTAGCTGTTTCGTACATTAGCTACCGAGTCGTAGCCATTACTTTGACAACATCGCAGGAAAGTGAAGAGGCTGCTACATTCGAAATATCACACAAAAACCGCACTATTAGGGTGTATAAAAGGTTCCTTAATTTGTTTAAATGAAGAGACACTGGAAGTGCGAGAACTATAAGGCATACATAAAGAGCACGAGCAAGAGGGCCGGCAGTACGTGATATAGTCACGTGTTAAGGGCAAGGCTGCGCCCCCCCCCCCCCCCCCCCTTTCTCTCTCCACACACACATACACACGTGTACACACACACACAGACACAGTGGCTGCCCAAGGTGGGAGGGAAGGAGACAATGGCAAACATGATAAGAAAGGGCATGTCATGTCGCCTTGGGTAGAGACCCAGCAAACGTTTACTTTTCGCGACCTTACTGTTGGACAGTAGTTCCCATAAGTTAATACGTAGTGCCTCGAACCCAATGCTGGCCGGCAGTCAGGCGCAGAGTTAACCGAGGTGCATCACTCGGGAACCAAACTTGCCGAGCCGGCTATGAATAGCCGGCTCGTCGAGTCTGGACACGGAAGGCCATGGGAGCAGAGGCGGCAGAGACAGGAATTGTTGCGGATGTAGGCCGTGGTTCACAGGCCTGTTGCATGTGCCCACGACGGCCGCACGAGCTGTAATTACCGTTGCCGTACCCCATTTGTCTCTCTAGTGCGAGTGCTTAGAACATTCTGATTGCTAAACCTTCTCCAGGATAGCTTGACTTGGTATGATTGCCAAACACCAATAGGTGTCCTTCATTTTCAAGACGCCTTTCACGAAGCTCATTGTTGGAGCCGACCCCAGGAAAATAAGCCATGGCCACCCTCTCTACTCTACCTCTCTCTGGAGACCCCGTCTTTATTCGCCACTAACTCCCAGTTGAAAAAAATCGCCCAAAAGGTCGTTGCTGAGCGGTAGAGCTCCTTTTCTTCAACCTAGTTCGATTGCTCTACTAAACTGCTGCTGCTGTTTTTGCTCCTGGGACTTGCTCTACTCGCAGGATGAACTCATCTACACCAAAGTCACCCTCACCGAGTGGACAGACCATAACTCAGCAGTAAAGCGCTCGAGGCCCAGTTTTAAAAGGTCCAAGGGATAAGCCTCGCGCGACTCGTATGCGCGAATTGTAGGCATCGCAAAATCAAGGTCAGCGAAGCCGGCCTAATATAGGAGAGATCTAAAGTGACTGCCGATTTGAAATCGCGTCAGGGGTTTTCTTCTCAGGAGGAAGGAGACCAGAAACGATGAAGTTACGGTGGAGCTGACGGAAGAGAAAGCTACTGGCCCCTACGACCTCAAAGCAGTGAGACCGCCTGCAGTGTCCGCTGTAACATCTCTGGTAATGGTGGCACTTTACCCGTCCGCATGGTAAGCCCAATAACGGCAGGAGGTGGGCAATGGAAAACGCGGAGAGAAAACACTCCAAATCACGACGATAACGAGTATCAAGACAACGTGCACATGACGGGCGCTGCATGTCACCTGAGAAAACACCATATTAACGTCAATGACATTCGTTCGCTGGGTAGTTCTAGATGCCTCGAAGGCTAGCCAACAGCAACCCCATACATTTGGACTTTTTTCCTTTTTCCGCGTGACTGCATCCGCAGTGATAAGTACGGCTGCATTTTTACGTGGGGTTCAAAGGCATTCCTTTTACATTGTTCGCACGCGCGATTTAGTTTGGCTACACCAGCTGGAGCTGACCCCGGCGACTCGACAAGAGCGAGTGAGCTAAGTCGGGGATTCAAACGCGCCATCTTGCACTATTCATAGCGCATCATACAGGAGCTTAGCGACAATAACACAGGGTCGACAATTGTACGAGTCAGACTATGAGACCTGGCAATTCTTTGTCAAAACCCCAGCAGGTGAGAACCCAATGCAGACAATCATAGATGAAGAAAAGTCCAATCGCGAACGTGCCTCTTTGCCATTTGCTATACCATTTCTAGGGCTTCATCGTAAAAAGTGATGAGGTAGAGAAGGTCACTCCGCTAATGAGAGAGATTCATCAACGATTGGACCACGAGCCGTCGCAGCAAAAGTTCCCCGGAACCAACTCTCGGTCCACGCTTCCTTTTACCCTTTTTTTTTTTCAAATGAAGGGGTTTCAATCTACATGATTTGTACCTTCCTCCACCGCTAAATGAGTGCTCGTGCATAGTTTCCCCCGTTAGGCAGGCTGTAGATGGTGCGGGTGTGAAACCTATTGGGTTCCCCGTTGGTCAAGTAGATGCCTGAGTGATGATTGAACTCGATCAGGACAACCGGGCTCTGAATGCGATAGTAGAACGGGTCTTCGTCCCGAAAGAACCGATCCAGCAGAAGTACGTCTCGTGGAGGGTCTACGGGAAATCTCGTTCGTATGATATTAGAAACGGCCTTCATACGACCTAGTAGGCGGATGTTAGAAACGGCCTTTATATAACCTAAGGCGCGGGGCGCCTAGAGGTAGGTCTACCGGGGCGGCAGCCTAGTAGTATAAGGCTAGGTTACGTACGGTACGTAACTACCGAAAAGAGAAGTATTTAATATATCGATATATTAATATACTATCCCTAGTTACCTATTCGGGATATACCTTATAAGTATATAGCTACGCTTATTCCCCTTTTATAGTTACACTCTCTCGTAGTTAACTTATAACATCTACTTTATAGACTATTCTAAAGTTACTTAACTATTTATACCTTACGTACTCTTAACCTAGCTTATATAATAAAGGAACTATAACTAAAGAAACCTAACTACGTTAAGTTATATAGGAAGTAGCTCTAATACTTTAACTACTACTAACCGGTACGAGAGACGACCTCTATAAGTAGTTACGGAAGATAGATAAGATCTATATCTCTAATCGATAAACTCCTTATACGATAAGCATTACGTTTATCCTTAAACGACGCTATAGTAGGACCTAGTATATTAAGACTATCGGACATTACTATAGTAGATATAGTACCGTTAGGTTCTACTACGGCGGAACTAATATCTAAGGGTAAGATCGGAAACCTACCTAAGCCCTTTAATAGAGTATAGGAAAGACTTACGCCTTTCATTTACTATATAGATATATATCTATTAATAAACCTAGGAGATTTTTCTAGTAATATATAAAAGGTCCTCTTTATAGGAAGCTACTTTAAGGGAGGAGCGGAGGCGTAGCTCCGCCTATTTATTAAAGACTATATAGAGAACTAACTTAATAAAAGAGAGGAAGAAATAGTTAAGCTATTCCGAACCTTTTAGAGGTTTAAGGCGAAAGTTCGAAAGGTTTTTAGGGTAAGGGACGAAGAGAAAGAAGCGGAACGATAAATTATAAACCTACGCTAAACGAACTTAATTTAAGATTACGTTATTAAATTCTAAACCTTAAATATAGTATTAGAATAGAGCGACGGCGTATTAATTCTTATTTTTTTCGAAGGTCTTAAGCTAACGATTAAGTAGAAAATAAGGATATATAAAAGTAAAAAGATCGAAGACTAGATCGATAGAGCTATCTAAGTCGATAACGATTATTAAGAATATAAACGCTATAATAACTACCGTTAGAGATTCGTAGTAAAAGGATAAAGGTCTAATACTAGAAAATAAAGATAGCTATACTACGGACTAATATCGATAGACCTTAACTAGACCTAAAAGAAACGAGGTACGACCTAAATTAAGAATATAAAGTAAGGTAAGAAACTCTATAGACTAAGGAACTAAGGAAACTACTATAATTATAGAAAGTCTAGATATTACGTAAGGGAATGTAAGTCCCCGAAGAAATAGGTAAATTAAGTAGAACCTTAAAAAAATAAATAAGTAAAAAGGTTAGAGATAAAGTCTAAGATAAACTATCAGGCCCGTTACCTAACTGGAGGGTGAATATATGTACTATAGGACTAATAATGATAGATAACTAGCCTATAGATAGAGATATTAACGCTTAAAGAAGGCTTTAAGGTTGACAGGTATAACCCCTCTTACTATATATATACGGTAAGCTAGCTACTTAGCTAGTGGCCTAAGCCGAGTATCTAGTGTCACGTAGGTGTTCGTAATAGTTACCCTTTCTCCCCTAGGTAGTTCGCCCTCGAACTGGTAAGGTAGCCGAGTAATCGGTAGCCTTACGTAGCCTCGTCAACTTAATACTAGTCCTAATATAGAAGCATCCGCATTTAAGTAATAATAGTATACTATACTATTATTATGTTAAATGAATGCCTTCCATTTAATTTAATCATGCTCTCAGCATTTCGTTCTTATACATTAATTACTTAGTACATTTACTTTATTATCATTTAGCCTATTTATTTCCTTTTCCCATTCATAGTATAATCGCATTATACTTAATAGGTAGGTAGTTTCTAGTCCTATATATATCTACGTCTTCGACCTCTATTAAGGCCTTCCTTTCCTCTCTCTTCTTTCTCTTTACCATTACTTTATACGTAATACTCGCCTACTTAATTCGTTCTTAAATTAAATAATTCTCTTAACTTAATCTTAATTATAATGGCTCCTCGTCGGTCTCTCCCTAAGTCTCCTACCCCTTTTAAGGGTATACGCGCTTAGCGCGAGTTTCTATAGTATTAGCGTTATATCCGGGCCCTATAAGTATACTCCTTTACCGCTTACGGCGTACTTAAAGTATATCCCGTTACTAACTTCTATATAGGGCTAATTCTAAGAACGACCCTACCGACGTCGTCGGTAATGGGTATAAGGTACCCGCTAGTACTAGTAAATGTACCCGTTATACTAAAGGTAACTACCCTTATATCCCGGTCCCCTCTCGTTTTTAGTCTACTATTAACGAGGTATACGCCGCCGCTATTCCTATTAAGGAAGGCGAGGTCCCCGCTCTCTCTAGTATATTCTCCCTATCCTTCCTAGCTACTCG